GTTAGAGCGGCCTGGTGATCGGGTGGTTAGCGCGTCGACCTCACAGTGCAGAGGTTGTGGGTTCGATCCCGGCTCCGGCCTTCCTGTGTGGAGTTTGCATGTTCTCCCCGTGCCTGCGTGGGTTTTCTCCGGGTAGTTCGGTTTCCTCCCACATTCCAAAAACATGCATGGCAGGCTGTTTGAACAGTCTAAATTGTCCCGAGGCGTGAGTGTGAGCGCGGATGATTGGAAAATGGATAGATGGGTGGGTGTTTTGCACAGTTACACTTTTTACACTTTGGCTTAACATACTATTTTCCATGTGGGGGACTCGGTACAGGGATTAATGTTCAGTCCTGAATGAATGTTTTTTATTTTTGTTTGTGTTTGTTTTGTTTTAGCTCTAGCAAATAAATTGCACCGCTGGTTGGTTACGGCGATGTTGTGAAATGCATTATCTGTTGGGAAACTATAGTATACAATTCAACAATACCTCATTCATCTGATTCCAAACAGGATGAAAAATCGCAACAAGCGTATGTTTTATGTATTATGACAGACTCTACAACTTTCCGACTCCTGTGACGGAAGCTCCACATGAGCGAGTGGAGCACAGCTGGTGGCACGCATGTCTGAGGGGACTCTTTTAGATAAGCGGCATCTTCTACAAACTGCATCCAGTTGCCTCTTGCATTTTGGACTGCACGTTGTAGTTATGTTCAAGTTTCCTTCTAATGAGGGAACCAAGTCCTTGCAAGTCACTTCCTTGACCACCAATAATTAAGAAGACCTAATCTAAAGGATGCTTTCAAGAAGATGAAGCCTGCTTAAGCCACTCAGTGGTCCACTCAGGCAGATCTGTATCAGATTAAAGCAGATTGAGGACCACCAGCGTCACTCGCTTGTCCATGTGCCAGATGACTGGATCACACCAGCTTTATCCTCCGAGAGGACGTCGTCATAACCGTTGGGTCGTGCACATCTTCATTATTTATCCAAAAGGACATAATCCCCTGGCCTTTTCTTTGTTCCTTGTCAATGTAAACTGTTCCATTGGTCCCGTCCGCGGAGCATTGATCCTTTGCACCACATGAACTTTTCCATGCGCTTGTACTTTGGACAGGTACGTCCACTTTGCACTGGTTCAGACACATACGTGCCTCACTCAGGGCTGGAAATGATCAACATGGTATTTCACCTTATTGCCATTAAAGGGCCCCCCCCCCCCACCAACTCCACCGTACATTACTGTACGAGCGTAGTGCATTTACAATTCAGTTGATCATTTGGCTTACTTCTTGTTAAGTGCTTTTCCGTTAATCCCGAGTCCTGTCGTGAAAAGTCGAGCCGTTCTCTCCTCTCGCTTAAACACGATGGGCGTCTCCACTGAATTCACTGAAACCACGCCCCGCCCACTCAGCTATCGGGTCGAGTGAATGCTACTTCATCTAGCATTTTTTATGTAATTTTTTTGACCCCTGCGTAACGCTACATGTTTGAGCCACTGAAATGTATCCACTTAAAGCCGGGGTCATTGGGTGGCTTTTGTACACCACGACACGACGAGGTGCTGTAAAGCGGGCCACTAACCTGAGGCCCCAATCCATTTTTTTTCCCCCTTCCTCGCTCTTTCATCTTTTCTCTGTGTGACATGCGCACCCTCACATACAACATCAAGGCCCTCTAAAATGGCCACCTCGGACATTGGACGATCACAGTGTCGGCATAGCTAGCTGACGGAACATCGCAATTGCGCGCAATAAACGCTAACGTGAACGAGGGTGCTCAAGTTGTTATGTAGTGGTGGAGGGGGACCCGCGCCGGACTTCAAAGTGCATCACTTGCCAGTGTTTTAGGCACAGTGCTTGAAGTCAGTCCAGCACATAGAAACTGCCATTTGCCCAGTTTCCTTGGCCCCATACGGCAGTTTAGAGTTAAGTCCTGCATGTTTTTTGTCATGTGAGAGAGGAATGTTGGGAAAACAGAGAAGATAAGCACCATGTGAATGAATGAAACCAACGCTGAGCGTTATCGTCTTGGCGGTTTGTTGGCACGTAAATACCAGGCCAACATGTACTTACTTGTACTGAGAACATGGACTATTTTACTATTTTTGCTCAAGTTTGTCATTCTGTTTGTACTTTATTAATCTTGATCATCGACGAGGCTGCATAAGCTGCCAAACTGTCGGTTTACAATTTGTCATGGGTTCGAGGTGTGGTGCCATGCTTTTTTCTTTTTGTTCCAGGATATTTTCAGCACACATAAGATGTTTTCGCTGTGTATTTAAATCACCAACACACCCTCCAGTTGATGAGTCACAAGATTGCTTCAGGCTTCAGGTGCGGCCACACATACGGCAGGCTGGAGATTTTCCACTTGTTTTTGTTCTGCTGGTGAAAAGTGGACGACACGCAGCCGTGATCTGATCGGATGCGGAAGAAGTCTCAGGGGTCGATTTGCCCAAGAGGAGTCTCCAGACCAGGGGTGTCCAAACTCGATGTCCTGCTTGTTTTCCATCTCTCCCTGCTGCCAACACACCTGAGTTCAAACGACCACGATCGTTTACTTGCTTCTTCAGATATTACTGATAAACTGATCCTTTGAATCGTGTTTTTCAGCAGGAAAAGATGGGAAAACAAGCAAGACATGGGCCCTTGAGGACCGAGTTTGGACACCCCTGCTCTAGACCTTGGCTGTCAGGAAACTTGATTTGTAGAACTTGGTCCTTATATCCATAAATGGTGGAGGAAGGAAAATAGGATATCTGTAGTATCCCAGAGAAATGTCCCGAGAGTGGGTGTAGAAATCTGGCAGCTGTGGGGATGAAATATGCCAGTCGGGGTTGACAAGTGATGCATTCATGGCAGCAGAAATAATAAGCTGTGCACTTCATTTTCACATTGACATTCCATGCAGTACTACAATGTTGCCGAAAATTATCTTCAATGTTACCAAAACAAGTTAGGTTCATTGAAGTTGCTGAAATAAAGTCTCGGATGTGCAAGGATTCTTCAAATAACTTAAACCAGTCGATTAGCAAAATAAACGAGCGCTGAGCAAGGAGGATGGAGTACGTGAAAGACGGAGAATTTCCAATTTTGAGAGTCACTCTTAAAAAAAGGCAAAGTGCCAAAGTGGTTCACACAACCGCACGTCAATAGTTGCCCACACAAGTTCACGTAAACATGTTAGCTAATTTATTATTGCATACCACCGCTAGTTAGAAGGGATTGCAGTGCCTCACAGGGGTTCAAGGATAGAGTCAGCCACTCGCCACGAACTTTCAATTGCTTTATTGAATAACTGGAAACAAAAACATAAGCACATTCGTACATGAGCTGCATGGCCACAGGCACTCAGGTCGGCGTGCAGACTACGATTAGCCAGTTAACAGCCAGCCGCTGACCTCGGCTCACAACAGCCAAGCCGCCAAACTCATTGACTGACTCCTACACGTCACCTACCAGGCCAGGCCCCGCCTTTTAAAGCCACACCCATTCAGAGTCACAGATAGGAACGTGAACCCCCCGCAGCCAAGTTGAGCTAACGCTAGCGTTGCGTGCGTTTGAACTGCTTCTCCATCCACAGTATGGACGGGATGCGATGAATAGAAAATGGCCGATATGTTTACAAGATGAGCATTTACGAACGGATGACCGGCCGTCTGTGTGCGCGTGTGCGTGCTCGGTACACCTCATGAAGCTATAAGAATTTTTCTGATGCATGGTGTGTGTGGGGTTGAGGCTTTGCTGTTTGGAAAGCTCTGAAGTTAGGTCCCTCCTTCCTTGTCTCCAGGTTACCATGGGGACAAGAGGTGTGCATGCGTGTGTGTGTGTGTGTGTGTGTGTGCGTGTGTGTGTGTGCGTGTGTGTGTGTGCGTGTGTGTGTGTGCGTGTGTGTGTGTGCGTGTGTGTGTGTGCGTGTGTGTGTGTGTGTGTGTGTGTGTTCGTGTGTGTGTGTGCTGCGGGTGGGCATACTGCGGTCTGATGAATGGTGAGATCAGTGAAACTCTCTGTGACGCGTCTCCGGTAGATCAACGCGGTCTTGTTTTCAGTCACAATGACGAGATGACGGATGAAGCACCCCCACCCTCCCGGGACCAATACCACCACTATCAGGCGCTTACATCACATCGTGTACTGTATGGGTTTGTGTCTGTGCGTGTGTGTCCAGTAGCCTGTGCGCATGATCTTGTGTGTTTACTTGCCTCTGTAAGTATGTGCTCAACATTCACGCTCTGTCGGTGTGACTGGCATGTGGATGAAGGACGGAATTAATGAGTTGTTGATGTTGTTGTCGTCGTCGTCGGTGTTCTCACCGTTAATGTTCACGTGGTGCCGTTGTTCCTGTTTGAGGAGAGCCGCGGCTGTGTGGTTTCCATCCTTCTGTAAACCTGCTTCATGTTTACAATAGTGCTGATTGATGGGGAGAAATGATCACCATGCCGAAAACCCGGAGGATTCCCACTTGATTGATATACCCGTTGATTCATCGGTTCAAACCCGAATTTGCATCTCTCCTCCTCATTCACATGTATAGTTTGTTGTCTCAAGAAGAAAACATGTCTCCTGTGTGAACTTGAGCGACATCGGCGCTGTGTGCAAAAACAGGCAAGGAAACGGGTTTTCAGAACATTTACAGAGACTCCATCCATCCATTTTCTTAAAGTGCTTGTCCTCAATAAGGTTGTGGGTGATTTTGGGTGAGACGCAGAGCACACCCTGGACTGGTCGGCAGCCAATTACAATCATATATTCTTTATCCTCAGCATTGAACGACCAATATTAGCGCTGTTCTGGTGCGCGACGAGAGGAGTTGAACAAAATAGCCAACGGTCTTAGACTGCCCGCATGTGGCCAAGCAGCAACGCAATGGCCACTCAATTAATGCAGGAGGACAAAACCTATTCAATTCTTTTTACTTCTATTTATCTCATTGCTTATTTCCACACATTATTGTCATCACAATTTTGTAATTGGGTGCCTGTCTAATTTTATCCTTTTTTTTTTTCCTGTCAGTTCTACCTGCAGGACACAAAAAGCAGCAATGGCACCTTTATTAACAGCCAGCGATTGAGTCGGGGCTCTGAGGAGAGTCCGCCCTGCGAGGTCCTCTCGGGCGACATCATCCAGTTTGGCGTGGACGTCACAGAGAACACGCGCAAAGGTACGCGCATGTTGTTGGACCGCTGAGAAATGCGACGCTCAGGTTTGACTGACAGTGAGAGCCAACGTTTGCTCTATTGAGGTGGAGCTAATAGCCTGACCTCGCTCGCCTTTACGTGCTGATACAAACGGGCAGCATTTGAATCATCGGACTTGGGATTTCCCTTAAGGACACCTTGCGGCTCACCTCAAAGCTCTCACACACACACACACACACACACACACACACACACACACACACACACACGCACACAATATGGACATTTGGGTCAGAGTTTCAGCTTCACTGCCAAACCTTTCAAATTAAAGCTGCAATGAAAATTAATCAGGCATTATTTTGACCCCATTCTCCACGGCTGCTAAAATCATTACAATATGGAGTCGGCTGTGCTCACAAATGCAAAGAAAGGTATATTAAAGCCGACATAGAAAATTGAATTGAAATGGATGCATGTTTTGAGGTTGTGTTATGAACATGCAGACACACAGGAAGGCAGAACCTCAGAGCTGTCTGGCAGCAGTGCGAACAAAAATCCAAACTCAACGCACCTCTCACTAGCCCTCATTGGCAGATAGTGAACAATGTAGACCAAATTTATAACAATACTCACAGGCATACAGTATATGTACAGGTATGCTATCTAAATGAAGCTAAAAACTGTCAGGTTAGCTGCTCCAGACAGCTTTAGTACTGCCGCGATAACTGGTTGTGTTTTTAGTGCTATGTTTTAAAAATGGTGTTGCAAATTTTCCCAGTGTGGGACAAATAAAGGATATCTTATCTTGCTGTTGTGTGTCTCCAGTCACACATGGCTGCATTGTGTCAACAATCAAACTCTTCCTGCCCGATGGGATGGAGGCACGCCGACGAAGCGAGTGAGTACCAACACGGATCCATGAAGCTTTGACATGTCTTTTCCTCACATCTGAAAAGAACTCTATCCTCTTGGGATTTTTTTTTCCATTTTTCAAAACGTCGATCTCAACCCACTTCTTAATAAATTATGAACATTTTAGTTGTTCACCCATTTAACATAAAATGAGCCATCAGATCACTCTGACCGGCTCCTTTCTTGTCATGCAATAAGGGGAAAATGATTCTACATATACTGTCTATTCATTTTGTGAAAAACAGTCCCAAGTGGAGTTGCAAAGTTGCCGAGTCGGCAACATTGACTGTCTGTTTGCAAGCCAGCTCCTCTCTGTGTTAGTGAAAGCAGGGCACGTCAGCAGCGACGTGCTTTGAACTCTGAAGGTGCTGCAAAAAAATTATGAAAAAAATAGCTCATCCTGAGAAATAAACTATTATCGGGTAAAATTGATTAATCACCCATCCCTATCAAACACCAATTGATGTAAAAAGTCGCTAAACATCAGTCAAACAGTAAAAGCGATTAGTTTTTCTGATCAGCTGCCGTGATTCTTGTTGTTTTGAGTTGTGCGTCCCCCACCACACCAGCGCTGACTCCTAAGTGTGTGTAGAGTCCACTGGAGGCACTCTTTTACACCTGATGAGTTATTCGGCCTCCTTTCAGCCCCACCGCCCCCAAGTGAGCTTTAGTCATGAGGTGCGCTTGTTTCCTCGCACTGCTCATCTAGAGGGGTGGAGCTAGCACAAGTTCACGGAAGACCATCAGTTTATTTTGCAGCTGGTGAATGAGCTTCGGGGGGTGTATCGAGAGAAAGTTTGTTGCGTGGGGAATTGGCTTCTCGGAAAATCAAGGAAGGGACCTCATCGAGTCGGTCAGGCGTAGATAGATAGAGAGCGTGAAGTTTGAACCCTGCACTGCGTCGGTTCACGATCCGCCATCCGCCGAACGCAGCAAGAAGACAAGACAGGTAACCAGCACGTCACGGACTTTTATTTGACTTTGACTTTGCGTTGTCAAGGTTCAAGTGCTGTATCCGTTCCCCAATACAGCAAACGTGACAGCGTGTAACGCTGCACTGATTTTGGTATTCAGTCTTTAACAGCTGACATAATTCCGTCGCCTTATCCAACCGCTACTGGCATTAAAACGGAAATCCAATTTAACATAGGTGAGCCAGAGAACAGATTGTTGTATTTCCTCATAGTTGTTTCTGGTGTTGTTAGCTGCGGGTTACACATTAACAGACGCCTCTTGTGTTGCGCAGAGTCACCTTTTTCTCTCCGACTTAACTCTACCTCATCATCACCTTCACCCGCTTTTCGGCCACCTTCACAGCACTGCAAGATTATTTATGATGATGATTATTAATCACAGTGATTCATCATATGAGGGAAAACCTCTGTATTTTTACTGCACTATTTTTCAACAAGCAATGCAGGGAGTGTAGATGGAAAGTAGCCATTGGCTAATTTTGGCATATTTATATGTACATGTTCATTAATATGCACTGCCCTATTTTTAAATAAATAATGAACAAAATATGTAGACAGTTTTCAATCCAAGAATTAAACTTGAATATGAATGGATTATCATTTTAGAATATATGATGAAAAAAACCTTATCTTTTCCTGAACCTCTTGACCTTTGAGGTTCCGCTGTCCACATACAGTACATGCTGCACATGCCCTTTTCTTAGCACTCAAGAAAACCAAAGATGTTTTTGCCAAGAATAATAAGACTGGCAAAATTATTATTTCCGTGTGTTCTCCTCCATTCTGTTTCCACCAAGTGTGCTCCTTTGTCTTTGCAGTGTCATCCAGGCTCCGCTGCCGCTGCCTGTAGACAAGGTAAAGGACGCAATGTGCTTGATGTGTCCTGTTGTGCTGCCCACACACTTGACCGCGATTTCTCTCACTCACTCTTGTGTATGTGTGTGCATCTCACTGATGCAAACACACACACACACACACACACACACACACACACACACACACAAAGTGTGTGGAGTGGTCAGCTGATGTGAGGAATGTGTGGATTGCTGCAAATCTCTCCCGCCACATATTTCCATGAGTGGGTTGAGTGAGCGTGTCCATGTCCTCTCAGCAGTGGTGTAAAAGTTACCATGAAGTGTTGAGCTCGTCTGCTCTGTGTCTTCCAACCATCGGAGCAACACCCCCCCCCCCCCACCCTCCCTCAGTCTGAGGAATGAATGTAGCATGTGTAACTACAGTTGAACCACTTCTCCAATATAATTAAGCGACATTAGGCTCTCTCAGCGAGACCCAATCTCTAAGTAGACTGTTTCACTTTTGTTACTGGATCCAAGTACTCACACTATTGAGGGCCATAATTTAATGAAGTTAGCAAAATCGTGAGGATGGAATTTTTTTTTTCTTCTTCAAATTTTCCACATTGAGTTTAAATAGGACCTGAGTATAAAGTGGTGCAAAGGCCCCATGACGAATGATTGGATCTCCAATTTGGGAATGCATGTATCCTAGTGAAAATGTATTTCATTGTTAAAGTATCTGTGTGTGTGTGTTTTCTAGGTTGCAGCCAACACTCCCAGCATGTATTCTCAGGAACTGTTCCAGCTCTCCCAGTATTTACAGGTAACACAGCGACACCTACCGGTCACGGCTTGATCTTACACCTCAAAGCCGATGAGCTGCTTCATTCATCTCTTCCAACTTGAAAGAAAAACAAAGAAGAAATGTAATATTCACGAATATTCTACTCAAGTCAACATTGCATTTTTTTCAGTTTGATCGTTTGAAGTGGCAATGTTGTTGTCGTGAATAATAACAATAGTTATAAACCAGATTTAGTGAATGCAGAAGATACGCAAATCGCTTAGAATTTAACGTGATTTTTGTGAACTGAGAGGGTGGTATTCTGGTTGTGTCTCTGCTACAGGAGGCCTTACACCGAGAGCAGATGCTGGAGCAGAAGCTTGCCACACTGCAGCGTCTGCTCTCCACAACTCAGGAGGCCTCAGAGAGCAGCTGGCAGGTAGGAAACACCTCTTCAGGTGGATGGATGGATGGATGGAAGCATAGATGGATGGACCCAAACACTATTCCTTTGTCAGGCTCTGATTGATGAAGACCGTCTGTTGTCCAGACTAGAGGTGATGGGCAGTCAGCTGCAGGCCTACTCTAAGGTGATCCACGCTTACATTCACACACTCTTGCTCCCACTTTCTCCCATCTCTTTCTCTTACTTTCTCTCTCTCTCTCTCTCGATCTCTCTCGAGTGGTGTGTCCACATTGTCACCTCATGCGGACACGATTATATTGTATTTTTGGCGTCGGCTGTCAGTCCCAGACGGAGGATGGCATTCGTAAGGAGCTGCTGGCCCTGCAGGAGGATAAACACAACTACGAGACCACGGCCAAGGAGTCTCTCCGGCGGGTCCTGCAGGAAAAGATCGAGGTGGTCAGGAAGCTGTCGGAGGTGGAGGTGCGACCCGCAATCCGCTCGGTAACGGCACATAGTCACAAAGCTAGCTCGTTAAAGTTGTTTTTCACTGCCCCGGCCTTCAGCGCTCGCTCAGCAACACGGAGGATGAGTGCACTCACCTGAAGGAAATGTCCGAGCGGGGCCAGGAGGAGCTGAGGGAGCTGGCCAATAAGTACAACGTTGCCGTCAATGAGATCAAAGAGCTCACTGACAAAATCAAGGTGAGGCCTCTTCACGGTTTCACAGGTATGAAAGCAGACTTGATGCAGTCCTCTCTGAAATGGCTCAGTTGCTTCAAAATGCTCCTGCTTGCCTCTTAACTGGAGCACGTAATAGGGAGCCCATGATTATTCTGGCCTCACTCCACTGGCTGCTCATGCATTTTAGAGTTCAGAGTTTCTTTTTTGTTCTAAAATCTGCCGATGGTACGCTCTTGAAATAATATTGACTAATAGGTGAATTCCCTCCGGCAGGCAGCGGAGGGCCGCCAAGAGGAGCTGACCCAGCGGGGGGCGTCGGAGAAGAGGGAGCTGGAGCTGCGCATCGAGGAGATGGAGGAGAAGGAGCAGGTTCTCCAGGCCCGCATCGAGGCGCTGCAGGCCGACAACGACTTCACCAACGAGAGGCTCGCTGCCCTGCAGGGTACTCGCACATTGCCTCAAAATTATGTCACCACATTTGCGGGGTAAAATAATGAGATATTATCTACCATATACAGGAGGGTCCCGATAAATTAGCATCGTGCAGAAAACTTAATTTATGTCAGTCGCTCACTTCAAAAGGAAAATTAGATGGGTGTCTCCACAATTTATGAGCCAAAGTACATATTTGAAATCTTTGGCCAGTCCTGCCACGAATAACAAAAATCCCCAACAGGCCATTTTTTTTCTTTCCTTGTTCACAAGGTTATGTTCAGACAAGATTAAGCTCCTCCCCTCATCTCAGCACACAGTGGTACCTTGGTGATTAATCCATTCCAAAAAGTTTGAATAAAACCAAATCACATGAAAACCAAAGCAAGGAAATAACCCCTGACACCCAAACATATGAAGATTTTTTTTTAACAGAGAATAACTGTAGTTTAACATACAGAAACAATGTGAAATTAATATAAATGACCAATGAAATTGTTAAATGAACACACAACACATACGTCACATTTACTTTCATGAAACAGATCTGATCCCCATGACTGTTATGGTGTGTTTGCACCCTCTCTTGGTAAAACGTGTGTACTGCAGCGAAGCAGTGAATTGCCTCGTTCAGCCGGTCAGCTATCGACCATGCAAGTGTTTCACTCTAGCCCCTCTTCACCAACATCTCCCCATGCTGATACTTGGCTAACCATTATGACGTTAACAGAAATATAGAAAGGAAATATAGAGACATGGTACAGCCATATTGTCAACAAAAGAGCGGAGAATGGCCGAGACGTCCGTGATGCAATGCGGGATGACAACACGTTCACAGGTGTGAGAAGAAAACACTCAAAGTTGCGTATGCGTCAGAAATTATTTTTAGGGGGACTCAATTCCATGAAAAGATTGGCCGAGTCATGTGGAAAGGCAGGTGAGTTTGGTACGGACCATTTTTTTACTGTTTGTAAACCGATTGAATATACAAAAACTGAGACCAAAGTTTGGCTGAAAAAAAGTTGAAAACCAAGTTTCACATGGGGCACATGAAAACTTCAGTTCTACCGTAGTGGTTTGGTTCCAAGATGCCACATGATGGAGCCAAAGCAATTCTTACATTAGGCATGACTTTGACCGGAACGCAAAACGGTGAGGAGGTGGGCTTTGAAGCTAACAGTTTCCGTCGGAAATGTACGACTGTGCACATTTGTTTGAGAGATCTGAATGATAATCTTGAAGATGATTTCTGATTCTTTAATGTCGAGAATAGTGCTGAAACCCATCTACCGGGAGTTTTTCAGGATTGGAATTTCTGCCCTGTGGGGTCAAACCTCTACCCTCATGAAGACGTTGCTCCCGTTTTTGGGGACAACCCACTCAAGCAATAAGCCAAAAACAAAACATGGGTATTAGACTGTTAAAAAAAAAGATCCTGTTCAAAACAGGTATGGTAGGAAAAGGCCCCTGCCACCGAATGCGCAAACAGCTCCGGGTTAAGTGAGTCAATGCCTCTTTCCCTTGCTGTTGCTGTCTACAGTGCGCTTAGAGCAGCTCCAGGAGAAAAGCGTTAAGGAAAACAACAGTCTGGGTGAGTCCATGTGTCATTTGTCTGGCCCCTCTGCTCACCCGCACGTCCTGCATGACAACCGCCCACGTGCGCCAAGTTCCATTTCGGATTGCATGCTGGTCTGTCTTTCTTCATCTGTGTGATGCTATCCGTGACTTCTTGTTCTTCCTGCTCTTCACGGTTCAAGTGGCACAACTTGGGACAAGCTGGATTGGTTTATTTGTCCTCAAGAATGACAGGAAAGGGTGCGCGGGTTCTCTATGTGACGCGGTTGCGCTTTCTGGAGTTTCTGGGTGGATTTTCAAATGCTTCTTGGGTGGCGTATGGTGTTTGAATCAGCTCACGGAAATGCTCGTGGTGCCTGACCCGCTACACCGACACTGCGCACTTGGCCGCCACGTGGTGAAGGGCCCCTCTGCAAATCGTCGTTTGTGTGATGTGGTCACGTGACAGATGAAGACAAAGCCTCCCCTGAAATGGTGGCTCCCGCAGAGGACCGGCCCGTCGAGGACCAGCCGAACTCGGAGCCGCCTAAGATCCGCGTGGAAGAGGAGGACGAGGATGATGAAGATACAGACACTGACGATGGAGCAGTTGGAGGAGATGTGGATGGTAGCGGTGGTTTTATGATGATTGCTTCTTTTCAACTGTACATTAAGATAATCTTGCAGTACAGATCCACTTGTTGCTCCCTTCTCAAAATGGTTGAATTATCTTCCGATGCGAGCCTGGTCACCGAACAAATGACACTTCTATTTTAAGGCTCTATCTTAAAAATTGTACCTGAAAGCGGAGTTTATAAAACAGCTTAAAATGTCTGTTATGGAGAAATGCAAAAAGATGCGAGGCAGACTGGGAGGAAGAAATATGTTGGAACATAATCGTGGATGCACACAACATTGTGGAATGACCACATCAGAGTCTAGTTGTCGAAAAAAAATATTTTGAGGGCAAAGAATTAGACAAAATGACAAGAGCTCCCTTGAAAATAAGTTTGTATTTGGTTTTGTCACTTGAGCCGTCTTTCTGTCCGCGCTCGGTCCATCCACTTCCCGTTCCCATCCCGCGATTTTGAACTTCAACATCTTTCCGCTCTGATCTTCTCTGTGGCGCTCGGCTTGCGTGTTTGTCCTTCCCAAGTGGTCGCCCGCTGTCTCATCTTTGGGCTCGCGCAAGCTTCTGTCTTGAGAGGAGACGCACCGGACAAGTGGCCGAAGTAACTCCAGTCTCTTGTGTTTCTGTCAGACAACTGTCACATTAACAACAGTGGAGGAGACACCACTCGAATCCAACAGTTGATCGAGTGTCCGCGTGAGTACAAATACGTCTTCACGCTCTTTTTCATCTTCATACGCTCTTCTTCGCCATCATCCTTCTTCCTCTTTTGAGGCCACCACCTCCATCATCTTTCTTTGGCCCTTCTTTGCCCCCAGACTCATCCACTCGGATTCTTCACCAGCATTGGAAGCCCTCATAGCATGTCCACGATTAATTTAGTGTGTGGGGAATTTCCTTTGCATGCTTATCTGCCATTTTTTTCTGGTGTTATTCTATAAAAAAAATCTTGAATTGTATTTATTTTTATTCTCCACCATTCTCCTGTGTGCTTGAAAAGTATGAAACCGTTACTTTATTGGCCCACCTAATGAAGAAAAATACAATTTTACAAGTGAACAGAATGCTTGGAATACTTCACATACTTTTCTGCTTATGGTTTAGTCCAAAGACTTCCTTTATTTAGTTTGAGATGTTGCCCATTGCCTTTGCATTCAGATTGCCCTCTGAAAACACCCCCCCGCCTTCCCCGTACAAATGGCAGCAATGGATGATGATAACTTTACCGACCGACGATTGCTTGTTTACTTTGTTTCTGTTGTATCTGCAGCAGTGAAGCAGCTGAAGGAAGCAGTCAGTTCGTCCATCCACAAACTGGCCAACTTTGATGGTGAGAATTTTTTTAAGAGGAAGGATTGTTTTTCGGAATTGCACAATTGCTGCTACACGGCATCCGTTTTGTGTGCGGGTCTATTAGATGCCCACCTGCAGAACAACCAGACGGCAGGAGACGACATCCTGACCAGCCCGGACCGACTCAAAAGTAAACATTGTTGTTCCCCAAATCACATTGTTAGATGATTTCAGCGTATTGCACGTAAATGGTGGAATTAAATATAATTTTTGACTTTGATTACCCTGAAAAATTGCCATATTTTGGTATCTTTGGGCGGTGACGGACTCTTGTCAGTCTATTTCAGAACAGAACGCTGACCCACCCAAAAGGTGGACAAATGCTAATATTTACAGGCAGTGTCAAAGGGCCCGACAGACAACACAGAGTGTAAAAGGCTGACTCTGGAGAATCCTTTGCTGGCACCACACAATCAGTGCAAAGCCTTACTTATAGGCATTCACTGCTACATTAACCCTAATTATGAGGTCTTGTCCACCAAATGCTCTTCTACCTGCCTCAGGAAGATGTAAATTAAAGCTTGTGTGCGTTTGTGTCCGTAGGAAACCAGATGGATGCCAAAGAGTCAGACATGTCGGATACGCTGAGCCCCAGCAAAGACCGCAGCAGTGACGACACGTCAGGTCAGCCAAACTACCTCAATCCATGTCATACTATTCCGCAACCTCATTTTCACGACATAGATGTCATCAGTTGTTGTTCAGTTCTTGAGGTGTTTTTTCCTCTTTCAATTTAAGACAGCATTATTTATGAACCATGAATTTGAAATCGAAAATTGAAATGAACTGAATGTCTATTACCTCCGAATAAAAGCTAACTTTTTTTTCCTTTTTTTGGTGGGGTGGAAAAAATGATGAATGCAACCTATGTTACAGATGGCAACATGGACGATCAGGAGCTCAACGAACCTCTCAACAGAGTCTCTCTGCTCAAAGGTGGCAATGGCAACATGCACTATTTTATATTATTCAAGTAATAATAGTATTCCACCATAGTACTAGTTAGTTGAAATGTAAAGTCAAATTTAGGTTGATCCTTTTGGGGGGTTTTCTGTAGCCGAGTTGCTTCGGGCCGGCTTGGAGCCCGGCGATACGGAGCAGGTCATCCACCACCTCCACAGGGAGCTTCTGGAGGCCCAGGAATTATCCAACACCGGCAAACAGAAATGTCTGGAGCTTCAAGGTGAACAAATAAATTATAATCATCAGAATCTGTATTCTAGCCAATTCAAAATATTGATTTGTGTGAGTGCGTGTGCGTGTGTGTGTGTGTGTATAGCTCTGCTGGAGGAGGAGAGGAGGAATAACTCGAAACAGACGGAGGAGTCGACTAAACAGATCCAGTACCTGCAGAGTTCGTATTCACGCACAGTACAACTTGTTAAGGTGGAAATAGCATTGTGGGAAATAATGCAATTACAAACCATTCCCAATTTACTGTCATGCAAGTAGAGATGAAACGGTACGGAAATGTCCTGTAGTGACCAATATGAAGATGTTCATTGGTAAATATTTGATTAAACAAAAAAAAAAAAGGAAAAAATGTAAACATCTGGGAAAAATGTACATTATGTCAAAAACGCTAATATATAGAATAGCCAAACTAACTATTACAATTACAAAATAGTATAAATTATTAGACATTTTTTAATATACAGGCAAGTGTTGAAAAATGAAAAAAAATGCAAACATTTGAGTCAACATTAAAACTATTGGTGGAAAAATGTAAAAATATGACGTGTGTTACGTGAAAATATTACATAAGATAGGCAAAAATACAAAAGGTAACATGAAAAAAATATACAAGCTATTCAACAAAATTGTGAAAAAAGACATTAAGAATAAAAAGTGTGAAAAAAAATATTCTGTGGACAAAATATGAAACATTTAACAAAACATTAACTCTATGAGGGAAAAATAAGAATATTAAGAGTACAGGTTGCATGAAAAAACATGAAAATAAATAGATGAAGTATTAGGGAGAGACAAACATGACAAAATAGAAAATAATAGTAAAAATATTACATGAAAAATAAGCAAATATTAGGAAAAAATACAAAACATGAGGTGTAAAAAACAAAATATTAGACATATTAAAATATTTGCCAAAAACACAATAATATTTGATGTAAAATACACAAATATTAGGAATGCAATGCAAAAACATTCTAAAATAAAATCCTCCATGGTTCCTAACTCTGAAATGTTTCCTTCTACAGTTTACTTCTTCTTTCCTCCTTTGTTTGCTGTTGCTCTCCGTAGAACTGGACTTGAGGTTCAACTACTGTTTTGTTTGTTTGGTGCATCGTATAGCTCAGCTTGGGAAGCTGCAGGCCGACATGGAGGCTCTGAGAGAGCAGAGGGAGAAGACCATTTGTAGCACCAGAGAGGATCTCTACTCCGCCCAGGAGGAGGTAAGGCACCCCTGCGCTCGTCACGCCTCCTCACAAAAGAATTCACGCCCCTTGCGCGTCGTTCTGGTGGTCGCAGATCCTCGTCCTGCGGCACGCCGCGGAGGCGGCCACGGCCGAGCGCGAGCGGGACATCGCCGCCCTGCAGGAGGACTTGGGCAGCGTGCGCTGCGAGCTGGAGCGCTGGAGGAGCACGGCCGCCAAGTCCGAGGAGGAGATCAGCCGGCTGCAGGAAGATTTAGCGCAGCAGCAGCTGCAACGCAGCAGCGCCAGTCAGCTGCAAGGTATGAGACAGTCAAACGCGTTAAAACGTGAAATGAAGCGCCATCAACCAGTCATTCCCAACCTCTGTGCCATGGTACGTTAGTGTGCTGTGAAAAAATGGAAATCTGTTGAGTGCTGAGTTCTGGGCGCAGTCACAGAACAAATGAAAGCCATAATAGGTGCACGATTAACCTGTGCATCCACCTGTTGCCATTCATCCAACCATTAAAGCACGCGCAGATGGACACACTTAGTGAATATGTGAATCGAAAGAGACAAAAAAATATTTTTGTATATATCAAATACATTTTCCCAAAAGAACTGAACAATAGTTTGTTGGCGCACTCACAAGTTCAAGGTATTTAGTGTTCACATTATGTGGGTATCGTGTTTGGGTGGGGTGCCGTGACAATTTTCTCATGCTAAACAAGTGTGTCTTGCTTTGCTTCGTCCTAGTGGAATGTGCGACACTGCAGCAGCGGTGTGCGTCTTTGCAGCAGGACTGTGACAGCCTGAGGGAGGAGAGGACAACTCTTACAGACAAACTGCACCGCCTGGAGGCCGAACTGTGCAGGTACACTCACTCACCTAAGTCCATTTGACGACAGTTGAACACTCGCTATTTGCGAGTGTTAGGGGAGCAAAACTCTCAACACAAAGCCCAAAAATTGCAAGTAGTTGATGACACTTAAACCCCGCTCCCTCCTAAAATTGTATTTACATTCGCCCGGAAAGCAAATATGCTGTTAATGCAAGATGTTTTTTATTTTATTTTTTTGTATTTTGGTCGGATTTTATGAAGAACTGCATTTGTGTTTAGCTATGAAACGTTTTTTTTTCCCTGGTTGTTCCTTTGGTTCCCTGTTCTACTTTTAGCAACATAAACGCGCAAAAAATATGGTTTGTAAAAAAACTTGATTGAACTAAAATTGACTTTTTTTTTTTTTTGCTTTTGGTGTCTCTCTGCAGCACCAGGGCTCAGAGTCTGGTCCTCAGCAACAGTCTGGAGTCCCTGGAGAAGCGGGAAGAGCTTTTGCAGGGCAAGCTGGGTTCTTTGGAAAACCGGCAACTGCAGGACGAGAGCCGGCTGAAGAACCAGCTGGACCAGGCCCACGACCGCACGGACTCTCTGCAGAAAGAGGTACACACCGGCTGTCAATTCTCAACAATGACAGGACACGTTTACGACAGGATAACCGGCATGGGTGTGTGTCGCAGTACGAAGACATGCAGTCGCAGTTGTCGGACCTCCGTCAGCGCTACGAGAGGACGGAGCGGGAGAAGACAAACATACACCAGGAGCTGGAGCAGTGCAGGAGCAACCTGAAGCTGCTACAGGACAAGAACAGCTCTGTGAGCGCACACACGCATGCACACGGACACCTGCTGCGCAGGTGCAAATGGGGAAAGAAAAGCCATCATCCGCAGCTGTTTTTTGGTTTTGCTTCTTGATGTTTCCCTGCTGTTTTTATGTTGTTAATTTGCAGCAGAAACATCGGGTTGTGTGTGTGTGTCTTTGTTTGTGTCTTTGTGTCTGTGTGTCGCACCAGTGGTCATACAGTGGTACCTCTGAAGGTTGTCCACGGTCCATTCGGTGATGTCGGACGCCGTTTCAATACAACATTCGATCCCTTGCGATTATGACTTATTAAATTTTAGGAAACATCATACATAATGTACAGTCTAATAATATATGTATATGTGGGATAATAGATTCAACAGTCCGTCGTAAGACTTTTAGCAACTCCAGAGTAAAGCGTTGAACACTAAATCGTTACTGACAAAAATGTAAGCAAAAAAAGTGAAAAACTGGAGGAAAAAAACCCACTTAAAATGAAAATATGCCCCCCCCAAAAAAGAAAACTGAATAAATGTAAAAAAAAAAAAAAAAAATCTGATAGACACCCAAAAAGTTGGCTACACAAAAAAATGTGTTACCTTATCTGACCCCCCAAACTAAAACCCTCCCCTAATCCCAAAATTGACCAAAAACTGACTTTGACAAATTTGGCAAAGAAGGGACTGAATTTTGCGTGATAGAACAGGCTCTGACAAATATGACCTGACTAAAACGTGACCAACCCCTACCCCCCCTCTCTCATATAAATCATGAAAAATTGGGCAAAATAAGAACAAATCACTTTGAAAATGTGATAAGCAAAAAAAAAAAAAAAAACTGATATGAATGATAGTGTTTTTAAAAATTTACCAATTTATTTGCAAATCCGGGAAATAAAAAGATAAAAATCTGACAAAGTACAGCAAAAAAAAAAAAAAAAAAAGACAATTGGACAACTTGCTGAAAACTCAAGAGAAACCGAGCCAAGTGGAATAAAATCAGGTGAAAGTGCAAAAGAGCAAAACTATACAACAAATGTCATCAAACTAAGCAGACAAACCAATACGCTTACTTCACGTGAACATTAAATCGGAAACGTTTTTGGCGGCGTTTTGAACTTGCAGATTTGGAGGTACCACTGACGTCGTAAACCATGAACCCAATCACACGTAACAACAATCATGACCGCCGCCGCCAAGCGATTGCAGCAACACAAACACACACACGCAAACGGCAATCATAAGTAGCGTGGCAGCCGAGGTGACGTGTTGCTGCCTCACGGCCTCGCCTCGGCTGAAGTAAAGCAGACGCTAGTTCGACGCCCCCCACCCCACCACCCCTCCCTTGCTTCAGCTTCCTCCTCTTCTGACCCCACATCAGGATGTTTAGCTCGGATAAACACAATCATGCGGCCAAATAAACAAACGGCTCCCACACTGACATCATTTATTTGTAAATGACTACCATATGGCAATTTTCCGCAAGTCTCCGTCCGCGGACATGGCAAAGTAACAGGTGGCATTGTAAAGCCCCCTCACGCCAAGGGCATTTGAGCTCCTTAGAATGCTGAAGAAAGTCGTTTTGATGAAAAGTCACAATTGGGGGCAAAGTGGAGCCCTGCTATTGGAAGGGGAATTATTAGAGACCAGTGCAGACCGCGAATAATCAAGTTGATGCCCAGAATAATTGCATTGAGAATGATCTTTTATTTTGAAGAAAGAATTCTTGAAAAAATGGAATGTATAGTGGAGCCTCAAGTAAGGAATGACCATTTTTCAGGTTCACAAACCAAAACGGTTTTTAGCTAAAAAATAAAATCCGCGCAACATATAGAGAGGTGAATATACACTTTATGATGATGAAATCACACTGCGTCTTCTTGTCCCTTTTGGGTCGGCATGTCCAGGTTGATTGGGGTTACTGCTGTTACCACCCGTGTCAAAGCTGCGCCGCATTCTGGGAGGTGGCAGCCATTTTGTGCCCCCAAAAAAATTTCTTGAAGCGAAATGGTATATAATCAGAGGGGTCATTTTTCTTTTCAGATTTTTTTTCCTGAACAGAATTGTTGGTAAACTGAGGTTTCTATTGTATAGCTAATAGGTTTTCCAAAAATAAAAAATTGGATTTTGAAAGGGGCTGGATTGTGAATCGATGAGTCCATGAATGCTGAAGCAGGTATATGGGCGATATGGCGCCTCTGTCAAGCGTAGCGTCAGACAAAGCCACTCGACACCGACTTCGCCGCAATTGTCTTCGTCTCATTCGAAAGTGGCGCTGATGTCATTAAAATAACACTTCGCTGAAAAACTTTCAACAAATGCTTCTCCGTACCTGTCCCACATATTTTAGGCTAGTTGCTAGCATTGATAGCTGGCCAGCTTGACAGTGACTGGACGTTTGCAAAATTTCCCTCTTTGGTCCCGAAGCCTTCAACAGTGGGGTGATGAGTTTTGTGGAGGAAGTCGTGTTGTCATGATTGACAGACATTGCTTTGCACCCCCTCCCCCAATCCTTTTTTCTGCCCCCCTCCCTCACCACCGCTACTGCGTCCTCCCATGTTTGTTTTGATTTGCTGGCTGATTACTTCTTATCCCTCTCCTCCCCTTGAACCCCTTGACCCCCCCCCTATTCATGGGTCTTGTCCTGGCTCTGCTCTACTGGTGTTTCGGCCAGTTGTGGTAGAAAGGTACACGCCGACGACATGTGTGTCCGTCTCCCCAACGCCGCCGTCTGTCTCACTTCCAGCACTCCTTTTTTTTAAAGGCAGATTTTTCACCCCGCCTCTTTTGCAGGTTGCTGACACGGGTTGGTTGGATCACGTCTTCCTGCCAATTTTCCGTCACCTGAGGGAGTATCAAAGCCGCAACAGAGGCGGGACGGCACCTCCGTTCACGCAAATGCAAAGGCGGGTGGGGGTGGAGCTTAATTGCGCCATTTCGTTGTAAGCAAATGCCCAACGACTATTTTACATCAAAACCTGATGGTGGGTTGCTGTGTTGTGGTCATATCCCATTTTGCTGGGGTCTGTGTGAAAAGCCAAGTGGACCAATTGCCACTACAGCCACACAGTTTTGCAGAATCTTTGTGTAAAAGTCTAAATCTGGAGCAAGAGAGGGAGGAGCCTATTTTCACACGGAGGTCCTGCAAATTCGTGCATCAGATTTAAGGCCTCGTCTCTCTCTCTCTCTCTTTCACATTCTCAAGCATTTGACACTTCACAGAAACCCTGCAAAATTTCGATCTACGAAAATGTCTGCACGTTTGGGTCAATTTTGCAGGCTCTCTGTATGAAAGGAGCTACTCTTTCTTTCTATGCTCTTTCAACCAGAGATCTGGTGTCAAATGTTTTTATACAGAACCCAGCGAAATGGGATCAAGTCGCAGCCTTATGCGCTTTTACACAGCATCGGAATTAGGCGACATCAGCGTCTTGTTGGGACAGTTGCTTTTGATGCAAAAGGGGTTCAACACGAGTCCCTACACAAAGGTGCACTCCCGCCTCTGACACGTACTCCCAGCTGGCAGAAAATTCCCGGGTCGACTTTGTCCCTCCATTCCGCGTCAGTGTCACTTTTACATAAGGATGAAAAAGGTGGGGGTGGGGGGGAAAGCCCACTTTTACGGTTTTGCAGTGTGAAAGGGGTGATAAACTTGGTTCATCTCTTTCGTTGGGATGTGAAAATGTTCCGAGGTTTGTGGCATTCAGGGGCACACATTTGAAACATCCACTTTTTCAACTCTCCTCTCACGACAGCTGCGATCTATTTTGGATGTTTTGACAATCGTCATGTTTGGCCCTGAAGTCCCAACAGGACATTTTCTTTCCATTCTTTCTTCATCCTGACACCGCGCGCACGTCTGTGTGTGTGTGTTCTTGAACGGATCGCACACTCGGAACTCTGCTCCTGAAAGCCGGCGCCCCCAAAAGGTGCTCCCGTGGTCGTCTTGCTTTTCGCGATGCATTTGTCATTTTAAAGAGCAGAGTTCCATTTTGCCGCTCGACCGTCTCAACGTTTCCCTCGGCTTCTTTTTTTTTTTTTTCTCACGCATGCGCCTGTCTCATGTCTCCGCTTGGCTTTATTTTTTTTCCAATTCGCTTGATTGTTTCTGCCTTTTGAAAACCCTTTCTATTCTCATATGCACGCAGACCCTCGAGGTGCACAGATTGTGTTGTCACTCAAAGAGAAAATCTACTTTCGTTTGATAAGAAATGAAAAATGATCTCCCGTTTTAAAGGTCGAAGGTGCAATGTTTTAAAGAATGTCGTTTGACAAACGAAAAGGGGTTGTCGTTTTACAAGAATAAAGTCTCGATTTTCATTCTATTCCAAGGAAAAAAGTTGCCTCTACATAGGAATCAAATCTAATCCGTTTTGCAATCATCCATGAAGAAAAAAAACAACAAACTTGGTGGCATTAGTACAAGAAATAAAAAAATCCTCGAATCGACAAAGGCCCGCTGGCTTCTGTGACATTTGAGAAAGGCGCGGCATTAATTCGTCTGGATTTTCTCAGGTCATAATTTGGTAAGGTGTGTCGGCGGTTTCTCACCACGGCACGCTTGTTCACCCGCGACGCGGTGACATCATCAGGATGAGTCATCAGACGTGACTCAACCTGACAAGATGGCCATCATTAAATATGACTCATGTGACCGCTTTTGTTCGCCCAAACGGCACCCTTCAACTAATGCGCCCGCAAGTACAATTGGAAGCAGAAAACAAAGACAAACTGGAGCTCTTTGAGGGTCTTTCAATGTTCAACTCCACACTTTTCTTTCCCTCCTTCTATCCGAGTTGGGCAAAACGGACACCACAAGCAACCTGCTAACCTCAATTTCTTTGTGTGTGTGTGTGTGTGTGTGTGTGTGTGTGTGTGTGTGTGTGTGTCTGGTCATGTGTCTGTCACCGTGTTTACGCATATGTGTACGCGTCTGCCTCTGTGTGTGTGTGTGTGTGTGTGTGTGTGTGTGTGTGTGTGTGTGTGTGTGTGTGTGTGTGCGCGCGTGCGTGTGTGTGTGTGTGTGTGCGTGCGTCTGGTCATTTGTGTCTGTGTCACTGTGTGTTTACGCATCTGCATGTGCGTGTGTGTGCGTGTTTTGTCTCTCCGCACAGGGCGGCTGGAGCCCCTGGATGCCGGTCATCGCAGTGATGGTCGCCGTGACGGCAGCCATCATCTACCCCAACCTCTCCAAGAGCAGCTCGGCCTAAAGCGCTCGGTGTCACGCGCACGCACGCATGCACACACGCACGCGGTTTATTTGGGGGGGGGGGGGTTTCTTGTGTGAGCCAGACAATGTCCTGTGATCAAGGTGGGAGGTTAATGATGATACTACACAATCCTACAGAAAAGCGTGCGCACACACATTCACACTCACAAACATGTATGGGCGTTGTTTGAACAGTGCACCACTGCTTCACTTGTATAAAGTCAAATTGTACATAATTGTAGAGGGAATATCAAAGGTTGTGGTTTCTCACAGACTTATTTTGTCGAGCGGCGGGAAGTTTAGTTTATTATTTTTGTTGTTTTTGTCGTTATTAATCATTTGTGCTCTCTCTCAGCTGTGTTGTGTTTTTTGTTTTTTTCCTCCTCCATTGTTTTGGTCAAATTTCTGGCGAGCGAACCGAGCTTCCACACACACGCACAAAAAATCTGCTAGGGGTCACAATTTTCTCTTTTGCCGTTCGTCCATGACTTTTTGGAGTTTGCGTTTTCGTACCCTGTCTGATTACACGGAACAGTTTGTTGTTTTTTTGTTTTGTTTTGTTTTTTGTTTTTTTTTAAGTGTTGAAATCCCTAAAATTTGCTCAGTGTTTTGTATATAAACATGTTATCAGAAAACCACCCAAAAAAGTTGGTTTCCAGAAATGCACAAAATGTGTATATTGTTCATTTTTTGAGGGACCCTGCAACATTTTGAACAAATCCACCCCCCCCAAAAAAAGTTTTGTCTGATGCATGATTTTTGGTTCCAACACAATTGCAAATGTTCTCACAAAAACACCACCAAAAAGACCTGTTTCTGATAAAAGCAGGAAAAAGATAATTTTTTTGGGGGGCGGGGGTTCTTTTCAATATTTTTTTTCTCCCACGTTTTAATTTTCAGCCACCAAACTCTTGCCCGATATTCGTAAAAACGTCCTCATATTTCACATTCAATCAGGAAAAAAAAAACTGCGTTTTGAGACGCTGAATTTTGGTGACTAACGTCATTTGAACAACACCAAATTTTTCCCCTCAAAAAGCAAGAAAAATGTGCAGAATGTATCCATTGGTGATTGGTTGTCACGTTTGACCTCGCTTGAGTTCTTTTGTGGAAGCTCGGCTCCTCTCGAAGTTGGCCATGGTTAACGGCGGCTAAAATGGTCGCCATTTTGTTTTTTTTGTTTTTTTAATTCTTTTTGCTTTCTCCGTTGATTTTCTTTTGGAGGGAGCAGGGGAGAGGTTTTGAAACTTGAAACCAAATGATTAAATATGGTTAAAAAAAAGTATTTTTTATGTTAACTTTGAGGGCACACAAAAAGGGGGGTCAAAGTGCCTCTTCTAATGTAACTTAACACCGAATTTTGTGTGTATGTGCACACAACCCCACATGCGTGCGCGCGCACACACAAACACACACACGATTGCCCGTGCGTCAGCGCTGTGCCATTTGTGTCCATTTTCACATCTTCAATAGCAAGTTAAAAAAAAATAATAATTCTTGTCGTCTTTGTCAATGTGATTAATTTCACATTTACTTCACATTCACTTTTGTCAACTTCTCTGTCAACTCCGGTCAACTTTTGATACATTACCGTCAACTTTTTTTAGTTGATGGGACTTGCTGCCAAATTAAAAAAATGGAATTGGTGTCAAGCATGCGTCCACTTTGTCAATTTTCGGTCACCTTTTTCCAACGTGAGCTTGATGGTCACCGTTTTTTGTCACCTTATGTCAACGTTCTGAAATTTTTCGTCAGGTTTTTCGATTGCCAAGTTTGTCAACCATGTTAGCTTAATGCTGAGTTTAAATTTTTCTCTTTTTTTCCCCCTAACTTACTGTCAGGTTTCACAACCTACTCGCAAACTTGATAAATTCATGTTGACTCATACGTCAACTCCATGCTCATTGGCCTGCCTGACGCCTTTGTTGACTTCCTGTCACCTTCGTTGACTTCCTGCGCACTCCCAGTCAACTTCTGTTCGCATCCCGTCAAATTGACTTTTTTTTTTTGTCAATTCATGTCCATCCCCCGGCCAATTTCCTATCAAGTTTGTCAATTCATTGTCAACTTCACGCCAATTTCTCACCAAGATAATGTGAATGAAGCAGACCTCAACTTTGTCAACTTTTGTTAGTTTACGCTCACGTTTGTCAACATCTTTCATGTCAAGTTTGTCTGACAGATTCGATCAAGATTCTATTAAGTTTGTCATTTTATCATCAATGATTCTCAAATTCTTGATGACTTTGACGCCTTTGTTTTTTGTTTTTTTTTTGCCAAGTTTGTCAGCTTCTTGACAACTTCATGTTAACTTGGGCAACTTTTGTCATCTTCACGTCATCTTTTCGACTTTTGAAGTTCATGTCCACTTTATCATTTGTCAGCTTTCGGAAAACAGCATGTTAAATTTGTTAACGTACTTGTTAAAAGTTGATCAACATTCTTCAGGTCATCTCGGCCATCTTCACATGAACTTTTTCAATTTCCTGATGAATTCATGTACATCATCTCTTTTTCACAACAGCTTCGTATCAGCCACTTCCTCACCTCTTTTTCCAAGGTCACGTCAACTTTCAACTTCCTGTCCATTTTGTCAAATTGACATTGTTGTTTATACGTCATGTGTACTTGTCTCCAAAATCCCAGCGCCAATTTTCATATCAACAAAAGGACCTTAAGCCGTAGCACCATAGCGTGAGCGCGGCCACTTACCTGACATTTTTTTTTTTTAATTGCATGCATTTATGTGTGTGCGCACACGTGGGGGTTGTGCAGCGCCGTGTGTCACTGTTTGTGTAGCGTCTCGTCACATCCGTGTTGGAAACGAAGAACATAAAGGAACAGTTATCGCGGGAAACACTACAGTACGCGGGGAGAGCGAGAGAAAAATTGTAAAATAAATAAAAATGCTATTGAATGACGTGCTACTAGACTATTTTGTTAAAGATGTTAACCACGTGGATGGGGGCGGGGGGAGTGGTGTAGATGTGCTGTTGAGGTGTGTGTGTATGTATGTATGTATGTGTATATATATCTATAGATATATATGAGATATGCAGAGAAAATGTTTGGAATAAAGTTGTAGCAAGCTGACCCACCACAACTGTGTCATGATTCATTTTGACAATTTGGCCTAATCAATCACTCTCTCAGGTTGTGTTCAGAGTCCAAAACATCTGTGGGAAACATCACCGTCAATGAGGAACAATCAAACAAGCACACCTGATTCATTTAATGAGAGATGAGCAAGCCATAAAAACACGAGGCCGAACCTGCAGGGGCGCTGGTACTAGCTGAGGTCACAAAACCCATCTGTCTTTGACGGGTTTTAGAGACAGCCAGACAGTGATCACGCGTGTTTTGTGTGTGACATGAAATCGCAAGATTGACTTGAAAGTCACTAAACAAACGGCAAGGTCCATTAGAAGCAATTTGTTGACGATGGCTGACAAAATGAAATGCAAAGACTATGAATTAAAACTGCAAGTCAAAGGCAGTGAAATAAAGAATCAAGTTAATTTTATGTTTGAATGAATTTAAGAAATGTTTGATGTTTAAAAAGTCATTCACATTTGATCATTGGTAATTATATGCACGTTGAAAATTAATTTATAAATATTGGTGTTAAGCGATAAGAACTCTGTGAATTCAGGAAATAATAATAATGAGATGGCCCTTTTTAAATAGTTTTATAAATGAACCCTAAGTCCTAACCCTAAACCCTAAAAGTAATATTTGCTCAATTTAAAATGCCAATTGAATGATTTGTAAAATTAAAATTGATTTATAAATGTGATGTGATTGATATAACATTGTTAGTCCCGCCTGAATTCTATAAATGCTATCCAAATGTTTCACAAAAGTAATTTTTGGATTGCAACCAGTCAAAAAAAAAAGATTATGACGTCACGGCAAATCCTTAAACTTTAGTATGATGTTTCAGTTTTCCACGGTCCTGTGTGAGACAAAATGCATAGAAACATTTAAAAATAGTGTTACTGTACCTTATAAATAGACGATCTTTGCCCGCAAGCCTTAACGTCATCCAAAGTGGTGTTGCCTTCATTGTATCATACCGAAATGGGACACAACGCCACCGAGTCAATCAGTGGCTCAAAGCCGTTGAGCCAAACGTGTGGGAATTCGTCACAGAGCGTTGCCGTGGCTTGCAAGTCCCGTGACGCCTTTTAACCATCTACCAACAAACGCTCCAAAATCAGCGCGTTGTCCCAACCCAAACGAACTCGATGACTCGAACTAACAGCTGAAGTCGCGCAAATTCCAACTTTTGGAAACGACGCCTGAACGCACCCGGCCAAGCCAGTCACTCCGGCTTGGATCCAAAAGGAAAGTTCAGACCGCGTCGAGGCGTCCTTTAGCGGAGGGAGCAGCACCGCGCAGCGGCCCGCTTAACCAGCCAGTGTGCCCAGTGTGTCCTCGGCGCGAAGCAAGATGCCCACCACGGAGAAGGACCTGGCGGAGGACGCGCCGTGGAAGAAGATCCAGCAGAACACCTTTACGCGCTGGATCAACGAGCACCTCAAATGCGTCAACAAGCGAATCGTGGACCTGCAGCTGGACCTGGGCGACGGCCTGCGGCTCATCGCCCTGCTGGAGGTGCTGAGCCGACAGAAGATGCATCGCCGCTGTCACCCCAGGCCCAACTTCAGGCAGATGAAGTTGGAGAACGTCTCGGTGGCGCTGGAGTTCCTGGACAACCAGAACATCAAGCTCGTCTCCATCGGTGAGTTCATTCTGCGTGGCGGAACTCTCCAGAAGGTTCTCGCGGGGGCGGGGAGGCTTTCCCGAAACTCTGCCCGGGAGAGCCTCCGGTAGCCCGTCCACGCTCGCTTGCTGTGTTCGGTCCACCTCTCCGCATGTTTGCCTCGGTGGAGCCGCCTTTCGACCCCCCGCCCCCCACCACCGATTCCCATTGACAACCAAGCTGGTTTTCATTCATACTCGTTTTATTCGAATTAGTTAAATCACTCGGTGGTTGTTCTGGAAGTCTTTCGAAGCAGCTGATTTGGGGCTTTGATTCGGCAAACTTGGAATACACCACCGCGCTTTGTAAAATGAAATATGACGTTTGCGACCAGATCATAGAACGGGATCCTATTTGCAACGCTTTTTTTTCTGCGGTCTCTGGATTTTTGGAGCAACTCGATTAGTGACATGTACAAAGCGAACACATCTTCTTAAAATAGATGCAAGACATTGCTGATTTTATGAAAACTGACACTTTAAACCTGCGCACAAGAGGCGATTTCAATGCTTTCACAGTAGCACATTTATGAACGGAGTTTGGCATGGGAGATCTTCGGGTGGGCGTGAAAAATGAGACCTCAGCTTCAGTAAATTAATATTTTGGTTTGTATTGAATGAAAGAGCATGTTATGACTAAATTTTCATGAGAGACTGAAAAAAATGACTGTTGGATCTTGCAAATGTGTGATTTCCCTCAACACACACAAATAGTTAACACGTGTGGTCAAATCGTGCCCCGAGGGAACTTGAGAGGAATTTTGGAGTTTTGTGGTACGAGAAAGCCGTTCTGATTTGTTGCGATTGGAAAAGTCGCTCCTATTTTTCGTAATTGTTGTCATTTTTGTTCTAAAGTGGATCCAAAAACTATAATTCCTTTTTTTAATATCATGCTGATCTAGCAGTTAATCGTACATTTTGCACACGACAATTAACATTTGTGCGAGTTGTACCACTTTTTGGTACCCATTGTGACTTTTGTAATTGGGAAACCAAAGGGCTCGACAAAAGTACAGCGTGTTGGTGTGTGGAATGACAATAATCACTTTTTAAACAACAAAGCTTGTCTTCTTGTCATAAAGAATCGTCTTTTCTTTGTTAGTTATCAAAGTGGTAGGACTGGGCGAGCCATACTTTTCTAGATGAATTTGTTTTTTTAAAAGATTATTTTTAGGGGCTTGAAACCTCTCTGACCTGCACTGCTGGCTCTAACAACATGGCTGCGAACAGAGAGGAGTTACTTTTCAAAAGCACAGTCAGTGTTGCAGATTGAGCGATTTGGTTGCTTTGTTTAGCGACTTTTCCAAGCCCTCAAGCGATTATTTTGACAGCAGAGCACAGGGTTCATTTCAGTGCGTTAAGTCATTGGCCATTACAAACGAGAAGCAAAGGGTGAAAAAAAATGTGCTTCTTGTGACAAGCCCTCCCTGTAGCAGGTGTTGACCACCATTTGATGGCTGCGACTGTTGTTGGGATCACCGATGGATTTATTGGGTTCTTACATCTTATAAAACGCGTTATCTTTCCGGGACAACATTGAATGGGTCCAATGTATTTGTAGTCTGGCCCATTGACTGTGTGTGTGTTTGTGTTGCGTTCATGTGCGCTGCAACTTTTTGCAACTGAACACTTTTAAAGGAGGGGGAGGAAAACGTTTCTTGCTGTTGGAACGACATCAGAGAGACTTTGTCACTCTGGTGCGGCTTTGCGAAATCACTGTGGGTTGCGCGTGAGTGTGAAAAAGGGTGTTGTCATGCACTCCTGCAAACGGATGTGTTGCATCATGGTAGAATTATTTGACTTAGGTGTGCACACTTTTTTTTTTACAATGCTGGTAATAATAGCAATAATTGACATCACAAAAGTTGTGTTTAATAAGCAGCATTCTTGACACGGAACGAAGGGAAGAATGCGAGCTGCAAAATTCCCGCTTTCGGAGCCAAAACGGAGACGAGATGGTGTCTGTGCAGAAAAAGATTTTAATCCATTTACTGCAAATGAATATCAGCTTCAACTATCGGTTAGCGCCCCCCCTTGACTGCTACTAATGTTTTTCTGTATCGGCCCTGAAAAAGACCTTTTAACCAATTTACATCAAATAAATATTAACTTCATCTATCGGTTAGCGGCCCCCTTGATTGCTACTAATCAGTTTCTCTATCTGCCCTGAAAAAGACCTGTCACTCAATCACTAATTTTTATATTAGCATCATTAGGCAAGCATCCTTATGTAAGCAGCCACACGTTAGCACATTTTTGTCAGCGCACTTATGTTAAAATTGTTATTTTAGCACTTCAAGCAGGCTTTGTAGCATTTTGAACACACAGCGATTTCCCCCCCCCCCCCCCACACACACACACACACACACACACACACACTCAGATATCATTCTAGGTCAGAGTGGCACATTGCCTCCAGTTATCATGGCAACATGCCGAAACAAAGTCCTTGATAGGGTAGTTTATTTTCCTTCCACATAGTGTAAGATGTGGAATGGGGTCATTGCGATTGTAAAGTTGATCTTTGTTAGCATGTCAGTTAGCATCCCTGATTCAGGACGGACTTTGTGCGGCCAAATGAACCGATGTTAGCGGTGTAAATCATAAAAGCACCAAAGTTTACTTCACTTCCTGCTGGACTTTTAGCACATCATCTTAGTGAGCCCGCGACGCTGACTTTTGTTGCTTTCTAGGTGATAACTGGATTTATGACATTCCATAATTTCCCTCAAATGGTCACGGGATACTGACCTTAAGATTGTGCTCGAATGTAACCAATCTTCTGTGCCCTTATCTGCTATTGTGTGAATGCGAAATGGCTGCCTCATCCTGGCCCTTCAGGTCTCACATCCCTCTCGTGTATTGAAACAATATAAAATATAATATCCTTTCAGTGGCATAAAAATCCTCCAGCCAACAATTTTATTTGCATCCTCGGAATACATGTTGCAAGTTGCCAATCATGACATTTCATTTGGGACACATAACAGTGAAGACATTTTGGAATTAAAAGTGTGGAGAAAAAAATGACGCGAAGAATTTTGTTCTCTTAGAAACAGCTCGAACCTTTTGAACGACAACAAGCGCCCATCATTTAAATACTAATAACGGTGAATTCAAAAGATTTTCAAAATAAAATTCAGTGGGTTTTGTCTTTGCCATTATTGATCAAATTATGATTTTTTATTTTTATTTTTTTTTTGCCAAATGGCATTGGCTTTCACGTGGCCTGCTTGTTGAAAGTATAAACACAACACATGTTGTTTCAACAATGTGTGGTGACAATCACATATACGCATTCAGGCTTTCATTCAAGACAAACTCGCTTCTGCCTTTTTTTGTGTGTGTGTTGTTGCTGTACAGGTTCGCCGTCTTGGCGATTTTAGTCATCGCTGTTGTTACCACACTGATTGGGTAACACGTCGAACACTTTCAGGTGTGACTGTCCAAAGTTCACGAGAAACTACACACAAATGCTGTGCTCGCGTTGAGTTGAGTGAGTGTCGAGAGCGAGACTGTTGTTTCCTCCTGGCTGCGTGTTAGCTTAAAGCGACAAATTGGTGTGCTTTGATAATGAAAGGACTCATTTGTGGTTTGAGGACATAGACGTGTATCCTCTTCCGTTTTATAACTTTTGATGTCCTTAGAAGTTAATTAGCACCGTGGTTTAGCATGAATAGTCAGTTTGATTGTGACATCAGGTCTCTGGCAAGCGGCCATGATGGCCTCATGTTTGTGTCGCAATTGTAGCGTCCTTGTGTTAATGTCTCTGTTTTACAATCTACAAATTGGCATTTTTACCATAGCATCCTAAATTGGGTTCCTTATTGTTGCTCCTAACCTTGGCAACCGTATATTTGGCACCTTACTTTGTCATCCTCATCTTAGAATCCCTACTTTAGCATGTTACCTTGTGTCCTTACTGTTAAATAGGGATTTCCTGAGCACCTTTTGTTGCACCCGATTGAGCGACACTTGTTTTTGAGTATCTACCGATACAGAGTACCCATCTAATACCTCTGCAATGCATTAAGAAAAGAGGAAAAAGAAAAAATGGCATTCTGGGAGGCCAAATTTTACTGTCTTTTTTTATCCCACAACGCACAGATAAAACGTAACATTGTGTCATCTAAAATTAAGATACCGCTGATTCATTTGTCAATATGTTGGTCCATCAGGTTTCTTTAGTCATTTTGTGACAATAACAAAAAAAAAAAAATCTGATGTTTTCCAGCTGAGACCAATAACTTGACATCTGAAAACCTTGATCAAACCACGCTATTTTAACATCCTCAAGTTAGTCTCATTAGCATGCGTATATTAGCATCCTTACTTTGTCATCCCAAAGTTTCATCTGCCTTTGAATTAGCAATCTTATGTTCGTATCCTGACTTTTAACGTCTTCAAGTTTACATCTTCTCAGGATCTTTACATTATGAACCTTAACTTTTAGCACTCCAGTTAGCGTCCTTTATTAATAAAAACCTTACTCTAACATCCTTTAGCATATTATGTTTGTGTCCATATTTTAGGATACCTTTGTTGTCTGATAGATTCCTGATATTGGCTTCTTAACTTGGCTTTACTTCTTTAGCTACCTGATATTTGTATTTTTCAGTCTCCTTACTGTGGCATCTTTACATTAACAGTCGTATGTTAGCATGCTGACTTTAGCATCCTTTAGCACCCTTATGTCAGTGTTGTACTTAACCTTTCTTATATTAGCATCCTTTTGGAAGTGTTTCTTCTGGGTGAGCGAAATATGGGTGCTCACTGAATGATGCTATTGCAGTAACTAAGTCTCGTCACATCTGTGGTGATGTCATCAAATTTGTTTTTTCTGGGGTTGTGTTTACTAAGGCATTTGTGTGTGCGTGCGTGTATGTTAGTTGGGGGGTTGTGGTAGAATTGGGGGTTGGGTGGTAACAGATGATGTCACTCTTGTGGAACGTATGTGTGAATAGTCAAGACGCGTGCGCGCGCGCGCACAGACACACACACACACACACACACACACACATATGCAGTAGCTATAATCCCTATTGAGCTACCTGATTTTTTTTTCACCCTCCCTTTCAGTCACTCAACCTGCTTGATTTGAAACTGCTGCTTGGCTTACTATAATTTTAGCGTCCTTACGTTGGCACTATTGTTCCTTACTTTTATTTTAGCATGATTTGTTAGCAACCTAATTTTAGTATACCTATGCGAGTTCCCTTTTTAAAATGATTTGGTAGTGTCCAAATTTTAGTATGCTCGAAGTAGTGCCCTTACTTAAACGTTCCATCAGCACTCGTATGTTAGTGTGTTTATTCAAGTTTCCTTAACTTAGCATCTTTATATGGGTATCCTCTTACGTTATCAGTGTTTGTACTTAAGCAAGTGTATATGAGCTTCTTGATGTTCGTGTTGTTACTTCGTCCTTACCTTAGCACCCATAACATCACATATTTATTTTTAAGTCCTTACTTTAGCATCCTTATTTCAGAGCCATTGAGCATACTTATTCTAGTGTCTTTGCATACACATCCTTAGTAAACATTTGTACTTTAGCACCCTTTTGTCAATGTCTTAGTTTAAGCAATGTGCTAACTTTAGCACCCTCAAGTGAGAGCCATTACTCAACACCCTTACATTAGCAGTCGCACCTCTACTTTAGTATGCTTATTTTAGCATACATTAGCACGTTGTTACAAGGCAGCTACCACGGAATTTTAACAAGCATGCACGCAGAGACACAAACTGCCCTGTCATTTACGCGCGCGCCCCCTCGCACACACACACAAACTGATGTCATCAGATTCACATGTGCTGTGCCTGGAAGCTATTCTCTGAACATAGAAACATGACCGCTTTAAGAGAGATGCGAAGATGACATAATGTATTGTTTTTCCTATTACTTCCCTATGTCATCTCCCTTAATGTAGCATTATATAACAATCCTTTTATTATCCCTATTTTAACCGCTTCACGGTAACATCAACATTTTGAAGTTGCAATCTTTAGCTTCCTCATATGGGCATTCTTGGTTTAGTGCCCTTACCTCAGAAACCCGTTATCAGCATCCTTTAGCGTTCTCATTATGTTAGCGTCCTTCCTCTAGTAGCTTTTCATCAGTGTCCTTATGTTAGCATCCCTACTGTTACAACTTTGTGTGTTTGCGTGATTAAAATTCTTGCTTCCATCTTTTAATATCCTCACATAGCATCTGATTGTGATAATAATGCTCTGCTATATTTTTAAAAAAAATCCATTGTGGTTCACTCTTTTCATATTGGCACTTTAAATGAAAATGGCGTTAAAACAGCACATGGTGCCAATCAACATTGGACAGCCAATAAAACTTGCCTCAATCCATAGCCCCGCCCACTCTAGTCTTGCCTAACACAGTAGGAAGTGTTGACATAGGTGACTGGAGGCCATTAAACACTACACTGACTGCTGTGTTTGACCTGTTGTTATGGCAACAACAACAACCCAACATTGGGGCTGTGTGTGTGTGTGTGTGTGTGTGTGTGTGTGTGTGTGTGTGTGTGTGTGGTGAAAGAGAAAGTGTGTGAGTGAGATAAGCGTGTGTGTGTGTGTGTAAAGGTGAAGAGCGTGGACAAAATGGTTGCCTCTTATCCGTGTGCCACACCTTGCTTCCCAACTAAAGGAAGATGATGAACAAGGGGGAAAAAAGAGCATCCTTAAATTACCAGCCCTAATGCTAGGGTTCTTACTTCAGCATACTTAAAGTTGTCATACTGCATGTTTATGTTGTACTTTAGCATCCTTAACGCCATCATCATCATGCTTTAGCATCCTTAAATTAGCTGCCTCTATGTTAGGGTTCTTTGATGTCCTTAAGTTACCACTACTTCGCTTAAATTATCCACCTTGATGTGAGTTTTTACTCTGTGGCATATGTAAATTAGCACCTTTTATATTGATGTTCCTATTTTAGCATGTTTCAAGTTAGCACTATTTAGAATCCTAAGATTAGCTTCTTTGATGATGGGATGTCTTGATCATCAGGTAGTACCACACTTTAGTCTTTTAAAATAAGCTCCCTTAACATAAGGGTTTTTATTTTTAATGTCCTCAAGATAGTGACATGACTTTTTAAGCATGCTGAACTTGGCTTTCTTGATGTTTGGGTTCTTATGTTAGCCGCCCTAAAGTATCAGTATTACTTTAGTTTCCCCAAATTATCACACTTAATGTTAATTTTCATACTGTAGCTGCTTGAAGTTAGCGATTAGTAAATGAAAATGAGGGAAGTGATGCTAAGTGTACAAAGGAGTCTCCTGGCATTCAGTCAGTCAGTCAATGTGATTTGTTTGGTCCAGACTCTAAAGCCATCGTGGACGGGAACCTGAAGCTGATCCTGGGTCTTGTGTGGACCCTCATCCTGCACTACTCCATCTCCATGCCCATGTGGGAGGGGGACGATCATGAAGTAGGATGCACCTTCACTTTTGCTTTGTGGCGTTAGCTCGTGAGTTAACATCATGTCGCTAACTTCCTGGTTTTGCCTCCCAGTCAGACTCCAAGACCCCCAAGCAGCGTCTGCTGGGCTGGATCCAAAACAAAGTCCCGGACATGCCCATCACCAACTTCCACCAGGACTGGAGGACAGGGAAGGCGCTGGGGGCACTGGTGGACGGCTGTGCGCCAGGTACACTATGCTGTGTTTGTGTCCACGTGTGTGCCTGTGTGTGTCTGGGATGTATTTCTTTGTGTGTGAATTTGTGCATCTGTCTGTCTGGCCACCCATGCCCACGTGTGTATGTGTGTGTCTATCGGTGTGAGCGCAAGTCTGCATTTGCCTCTGTAAATTTTTGTGTGTTTATGAACGTGTCTTTGTGTGTGTGGCTCTTCGTGAATGCCTCTGTGGCTTTCCTGGTGTGTGTGTGTGTTTCTATCTCGTTTCGTATGTGTTTGCATCTGCGTGTCCCTTTTGTATGTGCTTGTGTCCAAACGTGTGTTTCATCACTTCTGTGTGTGTGTCACGCATATGTGTCTGTGTGCATTTTTCAGGTCTGTGTCCCGACTGGGAGACTTGGGATCCAGTGAAGCCAGTTGAGAATGCCACAGAAGCCATGCAGCTGGCTGACGATTGGCTGGGAATCCCGCAGGTTCCGTTTCCGCCTTTGGCCACACGCATGCAAACACTCACGCAGTGGGTCACCCTTGTATGTGTCCGTGTGTGCGTGTGCGCGTGCACAGGTGATCGCCCCAGAGGAGATCATCGACCCGCAAGTGGACGAGATGTCAGTGATGACGTATTTGTCTCAGTTCCCCAAAGCCAAACTGAAGCCCGGGGCGCCGCTCAAGCCCAAACTCAACCCCAAGAAGGCCCGAGCCTACGGACCAGGTACCCTACATGCATAAATGCGCCCATGCTGCCACTTGTGGGGATTGTTTCCGATTGCTGTCATGTTGATCTCGACTGTGCAAAATTGGGAGGTGCACATTAATCACGACAGAACGTATTTCAGTTGTGCAAGGTGGCATGTAGCATGACTAAGTGTTTGACTGCAGCATTCATTTTGACACCGAAGTGACAATGTTCCGTAACGTTCTTTTTAATTGTAGACTATTTCTAGTTGTTTATTTCCATTGTGGACGATGGGTGTTGTGACATAAACGGCGACACTTTGCACCTGCATGGCTCGCCTTTTCCAAATGTGCTAGTAGAGCGGAATTGGACCAAAAAAACATTTGAGCACTCAAGCAATTCAAATGTGCTGACTGTGACATGTCGATTGGGCTCAAGCATGGTTTGTGTGTGTGTGTGTGTGTGTGTGTGTGTGTGTGTGTGTGTGTGTGTGTGTGTGTGTGTGTGTGTGTGTGTTGGGGGGGAGCATACCCTTATTTTCACACTTTTAACTCTTTGATAGCCTGTTTTTGGAGGAAATGAGACTTAAACTTCCTCAGAGGTCCAGATGGTAGCTACTGGAAACACTGGTGCGCCTTTACAATGAGGGGAAGTGAGCCCTGAGCCAAGAACAATGAGCTCCTAAAATGCACGCACGCACACACATGCATGTGTGCATGCACACTGAGGTTGACATTTGTTCTCGACATCCTGAGAAGGAAATCCATGGCCTCATGATCTAACCAACAACACCCACACCACCCGGAATGGACCAGATACACTACTAAGAACACGCATGACCTTTTTTTAATGTTACAGTGCACCTGGATTATAATTACAATACTGTATTTCATTTTTTTTAACATTTTGTTTTGTTACAGACTTTGTTAACACTCAAAATTTCACATCTAAACAAGGATTACCTACACTAACGGACAAAGGATATGAAGTGCTGCGGTCATCAGTGAAAATCCAATCACCCATGACCTGTGTCAGAAAGTGGCAAAACCAAATGTAGCCCCTTCAGTGCAAAAACTTGCTCACCACTGTTGTTTGGATCTTCCGAAACGGGATATTTTGAATATCTGACAAGTCACCTGGGAACTGCTTGAAAATCTGGAAAAATAATGCACGTTTCCTAACTTCTCTTCACATCTTGATCGCGTTTGCGCGCAGGTATCGAACCGTCGGGCAACCGGGTGCTCCGCCCTGCCGTGTTCACAGTGGACACATTCAGTGCAGGGCACGGTCAGGTGACTGTCTATCTGGACCAACCAGACGGCACCAGACAAGAGGTAAGAGCCTCCTTATGCCCCCCCCCCCACCACCTTCTGAAATGATTGACGGGCAGGTGCACCAATCAAAATATGATGTCGGTTTTTTTTTCCCCTCTTGTCTCAGCTCAAGGTGGAGCCCAATGATGCCAAGAAGACGTACGCCGTCTCCTACGTGCCTCAAGTGGTCGGAACCCACAAGGTTGTCTGTCTTTCCTCTTTTAACGAGGAGTCAAATATTTGCTGAATGTAATAAAAGCCTTCCTGAATTTGTCATAGGTCACAGTTTTGTTTGCCGGCCAGCCCATCCCCAAGAGCCCCTTTGAAGTGGGCGTGGAGAAAGCTATAGGCGACGCCTCCAAGGTGGCACTGAAAGGGCCGGGAATCGAACCCGTGGGCAATGTCGCCAACAAGCCCACCTACTTCGACATCTACACTGCAGGTATCTATTGATGACGTCAGGGGCATGACACAACATTATGGAGTGAGCGCACACCAGAGTCGACTGGAAAAAAAAAAAGCAACTTTTTGTAAAAACAAAAGCAAAATGAGAAGAAGTGAGGCAAACTGGGTGGAACAAAAACATGAAGCAGCTTCCCAAAACATCACCACCGATTCACACAACGCTTCCCAGAATACTCCCAAAACTTCACTCTTCTTGTGTTTTTAGGTGCCGGTATGGGAGACGTGACGGTGATGATCAAAGACCCGCAAGGCAGAGACAACAGCGTGGAGGTTATGATGGAGGACAAGGGCGACAATTTGTACCGCTGCACCTACCGACCCGCGCAGGTCGGCCTGCACTCACTCGCCGTCACCTTCGGGGACGTCGCTGTGCCAAAGAGCCCCTTCACCGTTGACGTGGGGCCTGGTGAGGATCATCACTAAAATGTCCATTCCATCTCCCTAAATCCTGCTTAGTGAGAATTTGATGAATGGTTTAAACTATAGAACCATTCGGGAGTTCGATTTTCAGCTCTTCTGTGAACTCTATCGTGAATGTGCAGTGTCTGTTCATCGTTTCAGCCCGAGAGTCGACGATATGATGTTCGGGACTCATTGGTCTTTCCTTAATCACTATGTAGGGAGATGTATCAATTGGGGCACTGTATAGTAGATAACCTACACTCGCTACACAATATGACAAAATGGCGAACTCACTATGTCGTTGATTGGGAGTGATTCCGATTTGACTTTGTGTATCGTCCAATCACGCGCTTTGATTTTGTGTCCTTTCAGCATGCCTACCGAGTGCGTGCAGAGCGACTGGTCGCGGCCTGCAGGCGTCGGGTATGAGGGTGCAACAGGTGGGCGACTTTAAGGTGGACACCAGGAACGCCGGCAGCGGAGAACTGAAAGTTGTCGTCAAAGACGCCAGTGAGTGGAAACATCTCTGCGCTAACGCGGGGTGCACACGTACCGATTTTCAGCATCTTGACTGATTTTGAAAATGTGGCAGACCGCACATAGGAGGAAAAAGTCGCCTGTTTGTGCTCTGTTTTTATCGTCAGTGGTGCACTGCAGATGACCCGACATGGCACACTACAGTACATTTGACGTACATATTGGTGAACAACTTTGAACACGAACAATCGTGAACCCCAATTATTTCCCCAGCAGATCAAGGAGGAAAAGTCACTCTTAACACCACGGATAATCACTCGGGATAATCTTTCAGACATCTGACAATTGTCTGTTTCAAGTCACAACCACTTTAGGCTGTCTCAGTGCAACTCAATGTTAACGACACCCAATTTGCGATGACTAGCATTTATCGTAAGTGGTGTACACTGGAAAAAAAATGTTGTCAACTGACATCATTTTCCTGTTTATTTTTTTCCCAAATGATTATTCTTCATATGATAACACACTTAAATCATGCACAACCAATGTCCATGTCCGAATTGAGTGAATCCAAGTGCTACCAATGGATTTCTTTTTTCAGTGTGCTGCAGATGAGCGCCCCACACAGAAGTTGCCTTCATTAATGTTACAACAGATTTAACATTAACGATGAACGAAATCACGTATCCCGCAGCTTTCAGAGGCATCCGATCATCGGACCGAACTTTGATCTCAAACTTGTCCCGAGCTGTTGGGACAACTGTTTTCCCCCGGTTTTGCTGCACCACATGGAGGAAATAATGCGTGTTACGTTTCAGAGGGTGGCGAGGTGCGCGTGAAGCAGATCTCCAGTCAAGACAAAGTGCACGCCTTCGAGTATTACCCTCTCAGTACTGGCAAATACAGCGTCTCCATCACCTGGGGTGGGCAGCATATCCCCAAGAGGTCTGTGTGTGTGTGTGTTTGTTCTGTGTGTCTGTACGTATATACGAGTCTGTGTTTTAGTATATATGTGTGCATGCACAAACAAAAGCGAGCAAGGGATAAAGAGGGAGTGTGTGTGCATGTATTTTGAGTGCTCCAAAGTCACTGTGGGGCTGTCTAGTGTCAAACTGGATTCTTTGGAAACCTGTAACCCCCAAAAGAGCTCCAAGGGAAAGGCTTATTTAAGGCTTAATTAAGCCGAGCCGGCAGGAAAAACCTGCCGCGGATTTAAATATGCTGATGGCTTCGAGCCTAAGCAGGTGCTTTGGGTTCAAATTTCCAGGTGACTTTTCTTCAACTGTGCCTTTTACACAGAACCCAGCAAAGGGCTCTGTGATTTCACCGTCATGCTGCCGCGCTTTGTTGAAAGTGTTTGCTGTGACGTCAATCCGGTTGCGGGATGCAGAGCAAGGTTTTAGAGTTCACAAAAACTCTTGAAGTTGAGAAAATCAAAATTGAAAAAACCTTTTCGTTCAACATTGAAATGAAAACTAACTCAAACTACATCTTAGGTTTATAAGAGTAACTAATTAAAGCAGAAATACCTTTCAGCTTTGTCATGTCGTTTTGGGTTATTACACAATATTTTGTGACCCATTTTTATCAAATCTTGAATTCGACAAAATATACCATATTTGGGGGGGGACCAAAAACAGATCATGATGAATGCAGTATTTGCTTTAATCTTTGTTTTCACTCCGCAGTCCCTTTGAGGTCGTTGTGGGTCCAGAAGCGGAACCACAACAGATCCGGGCGTGGGGTCCTGGTCTGGAAGGGGGCGTTGTGGCTAAACCTGCCATCTTTGTGGTGGAGTCTATGGGCAGCGATGTGGGAGTCTTGGGTGAGCGCATATGGACAGGATATAAAAACTGAAATCAAAAACAATGTCAAGTGTGATTAAATGGAGATGACCCGCCACTGTCATGGTCAGGCTTCGCCATCGAGGGTCCGTCACAGGCCAAGATCGAGTGCGAGGACCAGAACGACGGCTCGTGCGACGTCCGCTACTGGCCCACCGAGCCGGGCGAGTACGCCGTTCACGTGACCTGTGACGACGACGACATCGAGCACAGCCCATTCATGGCCTACATCTTGCCCGATCGCCATAGCAACTACCCCGGCAAGGTCAGACGGCAGTCTATGCCAGTGATTTATAGTGACAGAGAGACCGATAAAAGCTACAGTAATTCCTTTTAAATAAATTTGTTTGGTGGTGTGACAAATTTTTATTTTCTTTCACCACCACAATATGTGCCTTGGCTCAACAAAGGTTGGGAAATGGGAAGATACATAATCTCCGCCCACTGAAGTGTGACTGACATGCCGTCATCCGTATCCGACAGGTTCAAGCGTTTGGGCCCGGGCTGGAGAAAAGCGGCTGCCTGGTCCAGCAGCCCGCAGAGTTCACCGTCAACGCGAAGGATGCTGGCAACGGACCACTCAAGATCATGGCGCAGGTATCGAGCTGGATGGATGCATACATGGATGGGTGGACATGAATGGATGATGGATTGATACAGGAGGTGATGAATATAGCCTGATGGGTGAGTGGCTTGCATTGCTAGATTGATTGATTGGATGGATAGATTGATAGTGATGGATGGATATGGATAGCTTGACTGATAAATAGAAGGATGGATAAACAGATGATGGATGGCTAAATAGATAAATAAGTGGATAGATAGATGCAAGTATGGGCAGATGATGGACAGGATAGTAGATTATAAAGGTATAGATACACATCAAATGATGAATGGATGAAAAATGGATCGGTTGATGAATAAATGGGTGGATATGTAGATAAACAAAGGATAGGGTGATTGATAAATAACAGTGAAGGATGACAAATCAAATACAAACTGCACGTCATCTTCTCGTCATCCTCTCGTTCATCTCTTAGGATGCCGAGGGTCTTCCCGTGGAGGTGAAGGTGCGCAGCAAAGGGGAGGGCCAGTATTCGTGCTCTTACACGCCCGCTTCGGCCCTTAAGCACACGCTGGCCGTGGCCTGGGGAGGAGTCAGCGTCCCCGGGAGCCCCTTCAGGGTAAGCAGCGACCCCTCGCCACCGGCAGGGGAGCCATGGGGAAATACGGCAAAAGCTAAGAAACCCGTCATTATCGTCACTCACACCGAGGAGGGACGACGGTTTTTAGTGCGCACATCATCGGGAGCACAAAATCTTTCTGATGCTAACCCACAAAAATATGCTACAGTGATGCCTTGAGATTCACTTTTATTTCTTCCAAATCACCTTTCCCCATAGAAATGAATGGAAATGCAATTCCCTAAAGAAAACAGCAAAAATAAAAAATATTTTTTTAATTAAGAAAAATAGTACTATAGACAATCATACTTTTTATAGAAAAACAGTAATCAATTAGAAAGTAAAGAAAATGAACAATTTTGCCACATTTGTTTTAAAAATCAATAAACCCGGGGCCAGTATAATATATAAAACGGTAAACCACAGCAATAGCCACGCATTGCCGAGGATGAAGAATATATGCCTGACTATGGCCTCCATGCGTGTATTGCAATGGTGTGGGTTAAAATATTAAATGGTTTCAAGGAATATAACAGTGCCGCATAAATGCTCTTTGTTAGCCCATTTGTAGGATTTTACATTGTTTGTAAACATTATGCTAAGTGGACTTCTCCAAAAGCTGTGATTGTTTCAAATGGACCAAGTGTAATTCTTTGTTTTGTATTCAGCTTGACTGCAAACTTTCAATTGGGAGTGGCGTTCAACAGGTTTTTTGTTTGCTCTCCATTATCTTATAGCTGTAATGGACAACAAAACTGATCTTCAAAATAGACTGAAAATCATTATAAACATCTTGTGTAATTGTAAAGACATTTGGAATAGGCCAAACATCTGTCAACTTATCTTTAGTTTAGACTGAACAAAGCCTGTAAATTTTCAGACAAGCCAATGTCTGTAAACACATTTTCACATGAGGTGTGCGGACATGCAGTTTAAAACACCTTCGGAATTGAACAAAGCTTATAAATGTAGAAGACTAAACAAGGCCTGTGAACTTGATTCAGGAAGTGAATATCAGGCTCCTGTGAAGGTGCAGTAAGGAAGATGGCAGCTATTCCTCTGAAGCAGGTTAACAAATGACTGACAAAACCAGGAACTGCAAAGTCGAGAGAGAAATCTGTAGAAATGTTGTGTTCTAGAATTTTGTCAATAGTTTAAAGTCTTTTATGCCAGGATAAATTGTTGAGTAATTTGCCATGGAAAATAGCATTGTAAAAATAAAATGGCTTGAACATGAATTGTGGCATGTCTATTTTTTCTTTTTTAAAACATGGTTTGTTTAGACTACAACCGCGAAATGAGAAAAAAAAAGATTGAATATGGATCCATACTAATGATGTGTGTAAGTTGAAACATTTCAAGTTGAAACGTAAGTTGAAACGTTCCAAGCCTTTCCAATCATTTACATTCTCAATCTTGATCCATCGAATTAGGTCAAGTGTTGCCCTCAGGGAGTGTCTGAAATCAATTTTTCCTTTTGTGATTTTTTTTTTTTTTCCCCAACGTCCTCAAATCGATAATTGAAGGGAGTAAATGAGTTACCTAATGCATGAAACTACCAGTTAATCAAATCAGAATACTGATGAAATGTAACAAAGAAAAAAATCTGAAATGTTTGTTTGTTTGTAGGTGAACGTAGGCAAAGGCAGCCACCCGGGTGAGGTCAAAGTGTTTGGTCCGGGAGTGGAGAGGACGGGACCCAAAGCTAATGAACCCACACATTTCACCATCGACTGCTCCGGAGCTGGAGACGGTAATGGACACAAAAACAGAACTCATTGGTTTAATATCCGAATCGGTGCTTTTGATTGTATTATATATTATATTGCATACCACCACTCCAAAAGTCGTCTTCTTTCTGTCAGTGGACCCCTCGCTTCTGTGTCAATGCCGTTCATCAGAAAAGCGAGGGTGAAAAATGGCGGGAATCCTGGCGTCTTTTCCAGGCGGCTTGACTCGTTTCTGTTCATCAGATCACCGCGATTGCGCATTCCTGTCATACTCGCAATTCCTTCGCTTTGACTGACAAGCCAGGCGGCTCTCGACGGGAATGCCGATCATTCTTGGCGCGTTACAAACCTTCTCAACATTACGGCAGACTTGGCGGAGCCCCCTGCAGGCCTCCTAAAAGTCTTTGGGGTTATGTATTTTCTCAGGTGACGTCAGTGTGGGCATCAAGTGCAACGGCAACATGTTGGGAGACCGGGAAGCCGACGTGGATTTTGACATTATCCCCAACGCCAACGACACGTTCACCGTCAAGTACATCCCGCCCGCCGCAGGCCAGCTCACCGTCAAAGTGCTCTTCACTGATAAGGTGCAAAAATAAATACAAAAATCACAGAATCTGTTTGGTTCTCTGAGCAACTCCTTTTTAAACAGGGGTGTGTACATTTTTTATATCCACTCTACGCCCAAATGGAATTTGAACCTGTTACCATGACATGTTGCGTGTCCATTTCCACCCAGGAAGTTCCTCAGAGTCCTTTCCTGGTGAACGTGGACCCCTCCCACGATGCAGCAAAGGTCAAAGCCGAGGGCCCCGGATTAGCTCGCACGGGTAAATGAAGACACATGATGACATCACTTCTTGTCGGGACATTTCACGTACGATTCTCATTTCCAGGGGTGGAAAGTGGAATACCGACTCACTTCACAACCCTGACAAAAGGTGCGGGAAAAGCGCCTCTGGATGTTACCTTCTCATCTCCCGTCAATAATTTTGACATAATTGACAACTACGACTACTCGCACACCGTCAAGTACACGCCAATCACCCCGGTAACACAACACACACACATATATTTTGTAAATTATATATTTGTAGTTCAGCCAAAATAAAGCTGTACATGTCCACACAGGGCCCAATGAGCATCGCTGTGACCTTTGGCGGGGACCCTATCACAAAGAGCCCCTTCACGGTGGGCGTGGCCGAACCCCTCAACCTCAATAATGTGGCCGTGGACAATCTGGATGGACGTAAGACATCCCCAAGAAAAGAGAAAATGAGTCATTTCAGCACCTGATATGTAAATGAAAAAAAAATGTGTGTATTAGGTGTGGAGGTGGGTCAAGAGCAGCAATTCCTGGTTGACACAAAGGGAGCGGGTGGTCAAGGACGCCTGGAGGTTGAGGTGGTAAGTGTCAACCGGTTCATGGTGTGTCGTCGTTCCACTCCTGCATTGCTGCAGTTGTCCTGCATCATTTTCTCACATCTGTTCAAATCCATCGACTCAACAAAATCTGTTGGAATCTATTTGTATCTTTCTTTAAGTACCTTTTCGAAATCTACATAAAGTGATGTGTTCTGTTTTGTTGTTGTGAACGCAACCTTGTTACTTGGTTGCTTAGCTGAGTCCGAGCCAGCGGTGTGTGCCATGCAAAGTGGAGCCGCAGCCCGGTAAAGCCGAGGTGCGTCGAGTGCGTTACACCCCCACGGAAGAGGGGGCCTACGTTATCAACGTATCCTATGACGGACACCCCATCGCCGGGAGCCCCTTCCCAGTGGAGGGCCTGCTGCCTCCAGATCCCAGCAAGGTACTAACGACTGTCCGTGTTCTACCATGTGCACAACGTGGACAAAATGTACTGCCGCTGTGTTTCAGTGGACATTTGTAATTCTGTAGTTTGGTAGAAAAGAGTTGGTGACATGCTCCATTCCCATCTAGGTGAAGGCCCACGGTCCGGGTCTGACGGGAGGCTTTGTGGGGAACCAGGCAGAGTTCACCATTGACACCAAAGGGGCTGGCACAGGCGGTTTGGGTCTGACCGTGGAGGGACCCACAGAGGCCAAGATCGAATGCTCGGACAACGGGGACGGGACCTGTTCCGTCTCCTACCTGCCCACGGAACCCGGAGAATATCTGGTCAACATCCAGTTTGAAGAGGTCCACATCCCGGGCTCGCCCTTCCGAGCAGACATACGCATGCCTTTCGATCCTAGCAAGGTGGTGGCCACTGGGTCGGGCCTGAACAAGGCCAAGGTGAGAGCTTTGACTTGGCGAATCTGCATTATTGAGGAAAGCTGTCTTTTCCAATGTCAGGTGGACTTTTGTGCACACAGGTGGGAGAGGCCAGCGTTGTCAACGTGGACTGCTCACGTGCTGGACGTGGTCAACTCAGCCTGGAGGCCGTTCCGGACCCATCTTCTGCTTCTGCACCCGCAGGTTTGCATGCTGCTGTTTGACCAAAAAAAAAATAATTGACTGGCTGTGTTTATTGCTCCTCTGCCTACAACTTGGGATTCCCTTCTGTTAGAATTTCTAGCGTAGACCGTTTCGACAACACACTTAGGGTCTGACTCCTCTCTCTAATTATCATGCATCCTTTCTCTTGTTCACTTCTTCGTAATTCTTGTATAGCCCATTCAGGCTGCAGACTTGTCTTGCCTGAACTCGCCATGCCTGTCGCTTATGGTTTGTAAAATGGTCACCCGATTTTGACTTTTTGTAAAATGGCTAGCCTCAGTCCTTTGCATGAATCTAAAAATCACCATGCACCTTTGCTCTGTCCTTATTTACTTTGTTTGAGTGTGTAGAGCAATCCATTGAGGCAGCAATCCTTTCCGTTAGATTTTGTTCCACAGCCTGTTGCAGCACAGCCTGTTGCAGCACAGCCTGTTGCGGCAGGCTAGTCAGGCCTCAGTCATTTGTGCTCGCTGCTGGTGCTTTCTGAAAGTGGCTTCTCTCCAAATGTGGCTTTCTTGTTTTGCGGACTGCGGCAGCCCATTTAGGCAGGATTTCTTTTTTCAGTATCCACCACAGCCCATTTAGGGAGCAGACTCACTGAATTTAAACCCTTGTACCTGCTGAATTGATACTGCAAACCGTTAAGGCGTCAGACTTTGGGCCTGAAGCCTGTTCATTAAAAAAAAAAAAAAAAAAAATTAATAATAACAACTTGTTTTCGACCATTTATTCCAGGTGTGAAAGCAAAGACCGAAGTGTTGGACAACAAAGACGGGACGTACACGGTCACCTATGTTCCTCTGACGTCGGGTATGTACACGCTGCTGCTTAAGTACGGTGGCAAGCCCGTTCCTGGTTTCCCTGCCAAGGTGATGGTGGTCCCGGCCATTGACGTCTCCAAAGTCAAAGTGTCTGGCCGTGGAGTGGATGGAAAAGGTACGCGATTACCCCATTGCTGATGCCGGCGTCCCGCTTGGATCTTAACCGTGACACTCCCCTTCCTCTCTCATCTTTCTTACAGTCTTCAGGGAAGCCACCGCCACGTTTATGGTGGACGCGCGACCTCTGAGCCGGCAGGGTGGAAACCGTGTGAAAGCAGAGATCCGAAACCCATCTGGAGCCCTGACAGACTGCCTGGTCAAAGACAAGAACGACGGGACGTACAGCATTGAGTACACACCATATGAGAACGGTAATGCACTTTCTAATATGACCCATTTAGCCAGCAGACTGGATCAACCGCAACCCTTTGCACCTTCTGCATCTAAAAATGGTCACCTACCAAAGAATCTTACTGGTGCTATCTAAATGGTCAGGCACCAAACTTCTGCATTTACTTTGTTTAGTACTTTGTCTACTGCAGCCTGTTTAGTCAGCAGACTTGTTTGACCTGATTTATTTTCACCCTCTTCTGGTGATTCATAAACAGGGTCATGCGCCAACCTATTCCCCTGTGCGGTTTGCTATTTTTGGATATCTTTTGCAGCCCATTTAGTCAACAGACATGCTAGGCCTTAATCCTTGCGTCATGTAGTAATTGTTCCTTCATCTTTCAGGTGAGCACAGTGTCCAGGTTCTGTACGAAGACACTCCGGTTCTAAGGAACCCAGTCAGGATTTGTGTGTGTGATGGCTGCGACCCCAGCAGAGTGGTGGCCACGGGGCCGGGGCTCAAGAAGGGCCTGACCGACAAGAACAACTCCTTCAACATCATTACTAGGTAGACGAGCTTACACGCCGACGGTGTGCTTGTGTATGTGCGCACCGCCCGTCTTGTTTTGACAAAGCGTCTTCAATAGGGGGGCAGGCACCGGTGGTCTGGGCATAACCGTCGAGGGCCCGTCCGAGTCCAAGATGGCGTGCAAAGACAACAAAGATGGCAGCTGCAGTGTGGAGTACGTCCCCTTCACGCCAGGTCTCTACGACGTCAATATTCTCTATGGAGGAGAGCACATTCCCGGTGAGAAAGTTCAAGAAATCACACACCAAACTTTGGTGTCTACCTGTCTGCTTTGTTTTGTGTTCTATTGATTCTGTTTAGGCAGCTGACTTTGTCTGGTCCAAATCTTTTGCCTTCTATGGTGGTGGTTTGTAAAAATGCTCAGGTACCTCGTAACCAATGTTTCCTTTTTCTCTTTTGGGTTTCAGGAAGTCCTTTTAAGGTTCCAGTAGAAGACCTTGTAGACCCCAGTAAAGTGAAGGTTTACGGGCCCGGGGTTGCCCCGGGGGTCCGGACCCACATTCCGCAAATGTTCACAGTGGACTGCAGTAATGCGGGCCTGGCACCACTCGCCGTCACTGTGGATGCCCCCAAAGGCTTGTCCGAGCCTGTGGAGGTGTTGGACAACGGAGACGGCACGCACACGGTGTCCTACACACCTTCTGTGGAGGGGACCTACGCTGTAGCCGTACAGTACGCCGAAGAGGACGTCCCCAGAAGGTACTGCACGTGTAACACTGCCCGTTTAGGCAGCAGTCATGCGTAAACTTGTGATCATGCATGTACCAATGTTTGAGTCTTAACTCTGTTAAAGGTTTTGAGTCAACAAACTTCATGTTTATTCCTATATGTACTCTGCGTTTTACTTTGTATGAATTTCTACTGCAGCCTGTTTGGGCAGCAGACATGTTGGACCAAGTAATGATGCATATGGAGACTTCTACTGCTGCTTTGAATTTTGAATCTGCTCGCTTCACTGGAAAGGCAAAGTCATTTTTTTGGGGTTGTGTTTTCTTTCCCCTTTTAGTCCATTTCGTGTGCGGGTGCTTCCCACCCATGATGCCCGTAAAGTACGAGCCAGTGGCCCCGGGCTGACCAGCCAAGTCCTTGCCAGCTTCCCAGTGGAGTTCAACATCGACGCCAAGCAAGCGGGACAGGGACAACTGAGCGTCCTCATCACTGTCAGTATTTCACACACTCTAGAGTGTAACCTCTTTGGCAGAACACAGCCCGTTTAGGCATCAGACAAGTTAGGCCAAGCGATGTGGTGAAAAGGGTATGCTTAAAGGAGGATTCTAACCGGAGCTTGTTTAGGCCAAATACTCATCAGGCCTGAATCGTTTGCATCCTCAGTTGTCTGTTTCTAAACATGGTCATCTGTCCCTATTGACTAGTTCCAATGTCTACCTCAGCTCGTTCAGGCAAACCTTTCTGAAGCCCGTTAAGGCAGCAGAAAGGTTGGGCCTGAGTCATTTGAACGCTCTGCTGATGGTCCCTAATCATAATCCTGGCCATGGTCTGTTCACTTCACTTTGTTTGCATTTCTACTGCACCCGGTTCAGGCAACAAACTTGCAATTCAGAAATGTACAATTTCAGAGCAGTTCAACTTTAGAGGTTCCTTTGTACGACGTAGTCCAAATACCTGTACATACTTCCATGTTTTGAGTCTTTGTCTGATGTCTTGCTTTAGGACCAAGACGGCAAACCCAAGCTCCCCACTATCCATGACAACGGAGACGACACATACAAGGTGTCATACGTACCCGACCGTGCGGGTCGCTACACCATCGTCGTCAAGTACGGTGGCGACGACATCCTGGACTCGCCTTACAAAGTCCAAGCCATGGTGACAGGAGATGCCAGCAAGTGCTCTACAACTGGTGCGTTACTGCCAAATAAATCTTACAAACAGGATTTTACCTTGATCTTTCTTTCCATCATCTTGACAAGTTTGCTACTCAACTTTCTTGAGGGTCCGATGTTAGCTTCAATGTTGTGCCCAACATTAGCTTTCAGTGCTAGCCTCTTAGTAAAGAGTCCTTTACGGCTTACGATACAGCTAATGTTAGGGCGATGGAAGACCTACCTTGCGTAGCTTCTGGCCTAAGTATTCCTCAAAATGTGCAAAATGTGTTTTGTCCATCAGGGCCCCAAGTGAGCCCCAGGGAGGAGCTGGATCAGGAGCTGTTTCTCCTGGTCAACGCCAAGGGTGCGGGCAATGGCAAGGTGAACTGTGTAGTGGTGCAGCCCAACGGCAGCGAGGTCGACGCTCAGGTGACTGACAACCAGGACGGAACTTTCGACGCTTTTTGCACGCTTCTCGAGCCCGGCGACTACATCATGTATGTGCGTTTTGGTGGGGAGAACATTCCCGGCAGTCCCTTCAAAGTCAAGGTATGTAAATCAGTTGTGAACCAGTATTGCACTCCAGACCTCTCGGGGCGGTGGTATTGCATTTTGAATAGGAATTTGTAACAGTTCTTGAGTTGTATAATAGCAAAGAATTAATATTACAGCCGGTCAAGGCAGCAGAATAAATGAGGTTGTTAGATTTTCAAACCTTCCTGTGGTGTCCTCAGGCGACCAATGAGGTCCCCGCCATGCAAGAACTGACATCAATCCAACAACAAGCTGCTCCCCCGGGAGTTGGCTTTCAGCCCTGGGTACACACATGCACGCACACAACACACACCATGCCTACCTGGGGCTTCATGTTAGGGGATGTCATTAACAGTTGTCAACTGTGGCATTTGAAGCCCTTTGAGACTTTTCTGTGATTGAGAGCTTTGACTTGACAAACACACAAACACTTTCGGCATGTTCATATTGTGTGCCACCAAAGAAAAATGTCCACACAATAAAGGCTGGATGACAAAAGTTGTCCCACACTCTCACAGAAAGACAAGACCACACATCCATGTCAAGTGGGGATGATGACAGTTGTGCCACACTATGGCAGAAAGATAACCACTTACGCACTCATTTCGACAAGGTGGTATGACAAAGCTTGTGCCACTCTCGGATAAAAATGCAAGAACACACAGAACCGTGCAAGGCGCAATGCCGATGCTTTGCCACCAAAGAATAGAAAGACAAGAACAGCCAAGGAGTTGTACCACACTAGGTTGGAAAGACCAGAATACACTTACTCCACTCCCATTTGTGAACATATTCGCTCGAAGCCCCGCCTCCTTACATCTATATAATCCCCCCCACCACCCCGCATCGACCAATGAGAATGCAGCTTGCTTGTCAGGCTGGTTGCTATGGTGATGGCTGCTACTTTTGTTTGTGTGTGTGTGTGTGTGTGTGTGTGTGTGTGTGTGTGTGTGTGTGTGTGTGTGTGTGTGTGTGTGAGCCTGCGCACGCCGTGGCTGCGAGCAGCGCACAACACTTCCCTTCATGCCGCTAAAATGGGCAGGGCTGAGGCTTTCTAACACTGACCAATGAGATTGCTGTATTTGTTGAGTGACATTCGCTGGTCCCTCCCCCTCAGGTGACATCAGAAGACTTTGGAAACGGCATCAGTGGGGGCGGGTTCAGACCATTCCACATGGTCATTCCTTTCTCCTTCAAGAGGGGGCAAGTCACCGGTGAGATATGCGCACGCATGCTCGTTTGTTTTTCAAAATGGATGGATGAGCCAGATCATTCATAGATTAATATATAAAAAACTTGGATACGTGTCATTTAAAAAAAAGGAAGCCCAAGAAAAAGGAAACCACACACACCTATGAATCTTTGCTGCCAATAAGGCATGCTCTGCAAATGAAGGACAGCAGATGTTGTACTCTCTCCCCAGCAGCTACAAAAGTGGAAAACATCTGTGTGAAATGTTTCGTATTAATCAGTCAACAGTATACTCTGAAGTTTGCATTGGAGGAAGTAGCGATGAAGGACATGCGTATGTACGCCATGCGCATGTAGGCCATGCGCAAAGGAAGACAAAATCTGGTTCTTTACAATCCTGTCCGAAGGAAAGGAAATTAATTTGGAAGCCTTTTGTAGTTTGTTTGTTTCTTTTACAAATGAGCGCATCGGGATTGTTTGACTTCGATCAGCCGCAAATGGGAAGCAGTCTCGTCGCAGTCGACGTCATGACTCTCTGGTCACAAACAGATGTGTGACGCACAAGCATTGCACACACCATCCAAATCAAGTCCTTCATGCACTTTTTTTTTTAAACAAAAGATTTCTTCTCAATTAAATACCTGCCAAATTTACTATTTTTAACAGATTTCTTTAAAACTGTTTTTTAACATTAAAAAAAATTAAAGAGTTTTGAAATCTACATGTTTGTTTTATGTGGTTTGTGAGGTTGGTTTCGGGTCTCTATCAAGTCGCTTGCTCCCTATTTCAGGTGAGGTTCTGATGCCGTCGGGAAATTGCGCTCAACCACTGATCACAGACAACCTGGACGGGACGGTCACGGTGCAGTACTCTCCCACCGAAGCCGGCTTGCACGAGATGCACATCAAGTACAACGGAGCGCACATTCCCGGTATGGAAATGCACCACTTGAACCTTGAACTCTTTTCGGGCAAGCGGTCCCTAATTAACTGGCCTTTAGCCACACACATACGCAAGTGCTTAATTGAGGTTGGTGTATAAATTTGGTGTACAGAATAAAGAGGTCACTCGCTATCCTCTATAGATTTAAATGTATATACCAGAAGCACAATTCAGTCTTGACACTCCCTGTTGAAATGGTTCTGTCAAATTAAACATAAAACAAAGAGAATTACATTTTGTATGGTGAAATAAAAAAAAAAAAAACAGCTGTCTTAGAAAAGACCGTTTAGCTTAATGCTAACAAGCGATCCGAGGTGATCATCCTCAATGTAAACCAGGAGTGCCCAAGTCCGGCCCTCGACAACCCCTGTTTTAGAGGGCTCCCTCCTCTGTGAGGAATGGTTGACTATTACTGCAGAGTTTTGAGTGGCTTCACTCCTTCCCTAATCGCTGTTGGGATAAAGAGTGGACTTTTTATTAGTGCATAGTATTAAAAATCGTTATTTTGTGTGTTGCAGAGTCTCCTCTCCAGTTCTACGTGAACCGCTCCAGTAGTCCCAGCGTGACTGCTTACGGTCCGGGCCTTAGCTACGGCGTGGCCAATAAGACCTCAGCATTCACCGTCAACACGGAGGATGCGGCCGAAGGTATGAGACCACAAATCAGGATTGTTTTTAAAGCATATAATTGAAGTCAAAAGGGTTAGGTATCTGGTGTCCCACAGGGGATGAATATTAGAACCATTGCTTCTGGCTGTCAGTCATGTTTTATTTTCTTTGCTGATAACGCTCACGGATTTGTGGGACGTTTGTTGTCACTATGTGATTTGTTGTCACTATGTATGCGTCCAGGAGGTTTGGACCTGGCGATCGAGGGTCCGTCCAAGGCGGAGATCAGCTGCGTGGACAACAAGGACGGGACGTGCAGCGTCAGCTACCTTCCCACACTGCCGGGAGACTACAACATCCTGGTCAAGTACAACAACAAGCACATCTCCGGCAGTCCGTTCACCGCCAGGATCACGGGTCTGTACCCACCTATGGAGGATTACAGTCAACCCCTACTGTTAGTGGAGGATGGCGAAAAATCACGAGGAACTGACATCCCCGACAATGTTTGCCTTGATTGATTGCCTCAAATCTGTAGTCCCAAAATTGAACTCCAATTTCAAAGTCATTGTTTTTAAAATTACGATTGTCTCACGCTTTCATTGGGGAAACTAATGAAGTTGAAGTTTTGTATGTACATATGGCAAAGACTCCATAACTTTTGCAAACAACCCAGGGTAAATTTAGCTCCTCAGAGAGATTAGTCTCTTAGTCAAGACGTATCACTTCAACATACCTGCTTGGACAAGATATACTCCTGAACTTTTTAAACAGGGCTTTGGCGCCATCTTGCGGCATTTTAGCGCATGATGAAACAACCATATTGGATATTCTTGGTAACAAAGTGCTGCTTTGCAGAGGACAAACAGCGGCGCTCTCAGGTAAAACTGGGCTCAGCGGCCGACTTCTTCCTGAACATCAACGAGACGGACCTGAGTCTCCTCAGCGCCAGCATCATGGCGCCGTCGGGCCGCGAGGAGCCTTGCCTGCTCAAGAGGATGGCCAACAACCACGTGGGCATCTCCTTCATCCCCCGCGAGGTGGGCGAGCACCGCGTCAGCATCACCAAGAATGGACGCCACGTGGCCAACAGCCCCATCACCATCATGATCGTCCAGTCTGAGATCGGAGATGCTGGGCGCGTCAGGGCGCACGGCGACGGGCTGGTGCACGGGACAACCTTCACAGATGCTAGCTTCATAGTGGATACGCGCGAGGCCGGTAGGTAGACTGCCGCCATCTTTTTTTATTTTTTTAAACGGGTGTAGTTAAAGGGGCGGCGGGGGCAGAAACAACCCTTGGTGGAGGTCATGATGAGGTCTTCATGTTGCATTAAGGGTATGGTGGGCTGGCTCTGGCCGTTGAGGGTCCAAGTAAGGTAGACATCCAGACAGAAGACATGGAGGACGGGACTTGCCACGTATCCTATTGCCCCACCGAGCCTGGAAACTACATCGTCTCCATTCGCTTCTCCGACAAGCACATCCCAGGTACGAAGAAAGCACCCACATGAACACCACTGGATAACGTGAGGACACTTATTTGTCCGCTATGTAGGTGTTACACAGGGTTCGTTTCTGAGTTTTCCAAAAGCAAATGTTAATTATGTTAACTGTCATGAAGATGGTGTCCCACAGGGCTGAAAACTAGATCCGCTGCATGTTTCTTCGAATCGTGATGTGCCATTCGTGGGATTTAATGTGTTTGGTTTCCATGTCTGGCAGGAAGTCCATTCACGGTGCAGGTGACTGGGGAAGGTCGCATCCGAGAGAGCATCACCCGCAAACAGAGGGCGGCACCTGTTGCTGGCGTGGGCAGCGTCTGTGACTTCAGTATAAAGATACCAGGTGACTGTCTCCATATTTAAAAGAACTTAAAAAGAAAAAACCCAAATACAATATATGCTCATCAACAAATATGCACCCAACAAAATGTCACATCCTTTTGGTTTATGTAAAAAGTTCGTTTGAACTCATTCACTGCCAGCTCGGAAAAAAAGAATTTGATGTCTTTAGCCATCAAGGGCAGTGACTGGGTTAAACTAAAGTTTTTGCTGTTAACGTGTTATGGTCACTGTCAGAAATGTTGACTTCAATTCATTTGTCTTCCTTTTCCCTTCCCACCGTTCCTTCTCTTCCCGATTGCCATCCTTTGTCTCTCCTCCAACATTCCTCCCTCGTTTCCTCGTCGCCTTCATCTTGGTCCAGTGAGCAGCTTCTTCCTGACCTTGTCTTGCTCGACCCTTTCTTGCATCACTTCTTCTTTCTCTTCTTCTCCTCCTCCTCGCTTCTGCGGCCTCCTCTGGTGCTCTGGTGGGAAAATGGCAGAGGTTTGCAGAAAATGTTTTTTAACCGACTGCTCGGTTTATTTGACACTTGCTTGACTTCCTCATTAATGGTAAATACTGTTTAGGACTACAGATATTCGTCATTGTTGTGCATGTTATGAACTCTATAGAACATGTACAACACGATTGGATTATAAAAAAAACATGATGAGAATAAAAGTCAGTTTCTTTTAGAATAGTAAGCCAAAAATTTGAAAAAAAATAGATTTTACATTCCCAATGAATATGTATGATCAAATTTGTTTTTTTTTCTGTCCCCCCCAAAAAAAATGTTTTTAATCTTTATGTGATACAATAATGTGCAACAAAAAATTCATGTCTCCAAATTTTACGCGATGTTACTTACGAAAAATATTTGCTGGATTCTTTCATTATTATTATGAGTAGTAGTATGTTTGTATTTATCCAAAATTGTGAGAGAAATGCATTTGTTGGACACTTAAGCTTATATTTTAATGATGTATACCTTATATAAAATATGTCAGAATATATTGCCAGAGTAAATGATTTTTTAAGTTTTCAATCAATTTTTTTTGTACTGTACATTCCAAAAACAGATTATACATATATAAAATTTAATTTTGAAGTGCCATTTTTTTCTAAATTAAATCCCAAACATGAAACGTAACATACGAAAAAGATTGACATTCAATTCAATGCTTTGTGTCGGCAGCCCTGGACATGCGCGACGTCACGGCCGAGGTCACCTCCCCGTCAGGTGCCCTTCAGTCCGCCCAGCTGGTTGCCATGGGCAACGACACCTACTGCGTGCAGTTCGTGCCCACCGAGATGGGCGTGCACTGGGTGAGCGTCAGGTACCGGGGCAACCACGTGCCGGGGAGCCCCTTCCAGTTTACCGTGGGGCCACTGGGCGAGGGCGGCGCCGCCAAGGTCAAAGCGGGAGGCCCGGGACTGGAGGGAGCGATGGTGGAAGAACCAGGTACGCGCGCACACACACACACAAATAACCTAATGTCCCAAAAGGTGTCTGAAAGGATTTTTTTTGTTGAAATTCATCCCATAAAGCCGTTTTCACTGAGCAACATATTTCATTGGCACATCTATCATGAGTGTACTCACAAAAAATTTTCAAGAAGCCATGTTTGAAAGTCACAGTAAGTCTTGCATTTTGGTTTGAGGCCATTTCCAGGGGCCCACTTAACATTGTCAGTGCCAAGTTGTCCCAAATGGTTTCCTCATTTTCCAAGAGCCCCCCCCCGACACATTTCTTTTTGTTTGCAGCTGAGTTCAGTATCTGGACCAGGGAGGCGGGCGCCGGGGGTCTGTCTGTAGCTGTGGAGGGTCCCAGCAGGGCCGAGATCTCCTTCGATGACCGCAAAGACGGATCCTGCGGCGTTTCTTACGTGGCGCAGGAGCCCGGTAGATGAAAAGACACACACACACACACACACAAAAAAAATAACGTAATGGCTTTCTCTGTCCTCATGTGTGACGCTGATATCGTCCGTCAGGCGACTACGAAATTGCCATCAAGTTTAATGATCAACACATCCCACATAGCCCCTACCTGGTCCATGTGGTGGGCCCCACCTACGACACCCAACACATGACCGTCACCGGACTTCAGGTGAGACGCCCACTGCTGGCCTGTGGTTTAGAATAAAATATATTCAAAATCATGTGTCAACAATAATACAAAGAAATATTACGTATCCTAAAATAATGTATCATTAAAATAAACAGAAAAATATGAATATAATCCGAAAAAGCACATCAAATGATTGAGACACCAAAATGAAATTGTGTAAAAAAAGTCGATCAAACTAATATGTATGCCAGACATGATAAAAACATTTTGAGCAATATAAAAGCCAAAATAAATATCACGCGTGCGTTTGCAGAAGTCAGGCCTGAAGGTGAATCAGCCGACGTCCTTCGACGTGTCAATGGAAGGAGCCAAAGGAAAACCCGAGGCCAAGGTCACCAGCCCGTCTGGATCTCAGGAGGAGTGTGCCGTCAAACACCTGGAAAAAGGTGCGCGTGTATGTGCGAATGCGAGTCACGCGCTGAATAATAACCCGACCTGCCCTTTGCCCCAGACAAGTACTCGGTCCGCTTCATCCCCCGGGAGCAAGGCCTCCACACGGTGGACGTCAAGTTTGGCCCGCAGGGCCGCGTCACTTCCTTCAGCGTCATGGTCGGGTCGCCCGAACAGGCCGGGCAGGCGGGACTGGTCTCGGCGTACGGTGCCGCATAAAGCCGTTTTCACTGAGCAACATATTTCATTGGCACATCTATCATGAGTGTACTCACAAAAAATTTTCAAGAAGCCATGTTTGAAAGTCACAGTAAGTCTTGCATTTTGGTTTGAGGCCATTTCCAGGGGCCCACTTAACATTGTCAGTGCCAAGTTGTCCCAAATGGTTTCCTCATTTTCCAAGAGCCCCCCCGACACATTTCTTTTTGTTTGCAGCTGAGTTCAGTATCTGGACCAGGGAGGCCGGCGCCGGGGGTCTGTCTGTAGCTGTGGAGGGTCCCAGCAGGGCCGAGATCTCCTTCGATGACCGCAAAGACGGATCCTGCGGCGTTTCTTACGTGGCGCAGGAGCCCGGTAGATGAAAAGACACACACACACACACACACAAAAAAAATAACGTAATGGCTTTCTCTGTCCTCATGTGTGACGCTGATATCGTCCGTCAGGCGACTACGAAATTGCCATCAAGTTTAATGATCAACACATCCCACATAGCCCCTACCTGGTCCATGTGGTGGGCCCCACCTACGACACCCAACACATGACCGTCACCGGACTTCAGGTGAGACGCCCACTGCTGGCCTGTGGTTTAGAATAAAATATATTCAAAATCATGTGTCAACAATAATACAAAGAAATATTACGTATCCTAAAATAATGTATCATTAAAATAAACAGAAAAATATGACTATAATCCGAAAAAGCACATCAAATGATTGAGACACCAAAATGAAATTGTGTAAAAAAAGTCGATCAAACTAATATGTATGCCAGACATGATAAAAACATTTTGAGCAATATAAAAGCCAAAATAAATATCACGCGTGCGTTTGCAGAAGTCAGGCCTGAAGGTGAATCAGCCGACGTCCTTCGACGTGTCAATGGAAGGAGCCAAAGGAAAACCCGAGGCCAAGGTCACCAGCCCGTCTGGATCTCAGGAGGAGTGTGCCGTCAAACACCTGGAAAAAGGTGCGCGTGTATGTGCGAATGCGAGTCACGCGCTGAATAATAACCCGACCTGCCCTTTGCCCCAGACAAGTACTCGGTCCGCTTCATCCCCCGGGAGCAAGGCCTCCACACGGTGGACGTCAAGTTTGGCCCGCAGGGCCGCGTCACTTCCTTCAGCGTCATGGTCGGGTCGCCCGAACAGGCCGGGCAGGCGGGACTGGTCTCGGCGTACGGTGCCGGACTGGAGAGAGGCACCACAGGTATTTCCATCATCCATTTGACAGTTTACGAGAACAAAAATCTATCTTTATGAAAACTAAAGTCATGCTTTGCTAAGAAATGATAGGACTTTTCTAGATCGATGCATTTCTTGAGAGATTTCCAAAAAATGTTTTGAAGATCACTAAGAGATAATCAGAAACACTCTACAATATAAAAGAAAAATTACAGCATGTCATTTTTTCAAGAATTTGGGGATTTTTGTTTTGTTTAGTTAGGATTTTTAGAAGGAGAAAATGTGTATTTTTCGAGATTATTTCTTTTTCAAAACTGTGTTTTATTCAATTCTAGCTGTAAACTATTTTTTAGCTAAGATTTTTTAAAAGAGATAACAAAAAATTGTATACGTTTTATTTTTCTGGATGAAATTAGTTATTTGGGGTGGGTTAAAAAGTTTAGTTTTTTTAGATACAAAATTCTATTTTTTAAGTCAGAAAAAAAACTTTTTTTGCAATAGATAATTCGAAAGTTCAATATAAAAAGTTGTATTTTTCCAGATTTTTTTGTAAGAGATAGGATAAATGGTTCAAATAATGGATGAATAGAGCCATAACCTTAAAAGTAAAATTTGATTTTTTTAGATAAAACATATATTTTCTTTAGGTAGAAAGTCAAAAATTTCACAGACCATTAAGATACCTGAATACAAAGTTGCATTATCCATATGCCTTTTTTCTGGATCTTTTTATTTTTGCCTCAGTTTTTTCGAGAAATTATTTTTTGAGCGATAATTGTAAAAATAAAGTTAAAGAATTTTTTTTTCTCGATATGGCTTAAAAGTTGTATTATTATGGAAAACTATTGTGAAAAGTTTTTGGAGTGACCAGTAAAAAAAAAAAAATTGGGTAAAAAGTTTCATTTTTCTGGATCAAAGCTTTTGGGGAGGATGAGGTTCGTGTTTCTAAATAGAACCTTTGATTTTTTTCCAGTCTCTTGTTGTTTCTAGAATATATTATTTTGGGAGCAGGGTTGGTGAAGTGGTAGCTGCCGCTACCTTTTGTGCAAATGAGCTCTGGAAGTCCGCCGCTGGTCGCAAGCCTGAATCAAAAATGCTCGTGACCAGCCCAAGTCGCTCCAGTTTTCTTGCATACCGTTTGAGGGAGCTCAGATGGCGTCGGAGGCGAAACGTGGCGGCCGTGATTTGTTTCGCTGGCGTTTTGAGTATGCGTGCATCCCGGCGGCAGGCGTCCAGTCGGAGTTCATCATCGACAGCGCGGCGGCGGGGCAGGGCGCGGTGGCCGTGACGGTGGAGGGCCCGTCCAAGGTTCAGATGGAGTGCCTGGAGGTGGCCGGCGGCTACAAGGTGCTCTACACGCCCATGGCGCCCGGCAGCTACATCGTCGCCGTCAAGTACGGCGGACCGTACCACATCGCCGGCAGCCCCTTCGTCGCCAAAGTCACGGGTCGGCACGCGCTTTGGCTCCTCTTCTGACGCCGCCTTCCGCCGTTGCTCCTATTCAGCCATCTCATCGTCCCCGTCTCCTTTTTTGCTTCCATCTTCTCATCTTTGATTTTCCATCTTTTGTTGTTGTCCTAGATTGGGCGTTTTCTGTCCTTGTCTTGTTTCATCTCTTTTGTGTCTTCTTTGTGATTGGTCCTCTGTTTTTCTTATTCCTTTCATCTGTTTTCGTCATCTTCCGTTCATTTTCTGTCTTGTTTTTTTTTTTCCCTAATGTCTTGTGTCCGCCAATTTCTTCAGTCTTTTCAATTTTCTGCCATTTGCCATCCCTCTTCGCCTCGTTGTCTTTTGCTGTCGCTCTTCCGTCATTTCACTCTTTGTCTTCTTGTATTCGTCTGTCTTTATTTTTCGTCCTCCACCCTTGTCTTTGGTATTCTTTGTCTTTTGTCCTTGTCTGGTTGTGTCATTATCTCATTATCTTTTCTTTTCTTCTGTTTGCCTCAAGTCTTATTAGTTTTCTCCTTTCTTTCGTTTTGTCTCTTGCCTTCTTGCATCTATTTTCTGTCGATTGTCTCCATCTTCAATGTCATTCACTGCCAGACCAGTAATAAATGATTCCACGTCTCTAGCCGTCACTGGCCGTGAATGAGTTCAAACTATCTTCATTTGAATCTTTTATATGCAAAGTCATTGTCCGCATGTGACGAAAACCTTGCGCTTCCACCCTTACTCTGATTTGACATGAGCGCACGGGCGTCCTCTTTCAGGTCCTCCTTTGGTAAACGTGACCAACAGCAGCATATCGTCCTCACTGACCCTTGAACCCTCCGCGGAAGCGTCGGCGGTCAGCAGCAGCGGCGGCTCTCTGCAGAGCGCCAACTGCGTCTCGGCTGTCTCAGACGCCAGCAAGGTGCTGAGCCGAGGCCTGGGCCTCAGCAAGGCTTACGTGGGCCAGAAGAGCAGCTTCTCCGTGGACTGCAGCCAGGCTGGTGAGTCCTGCTGCCCTCCAATAATGTGACAGCCTTTGAAGAACAATCTTCTTAATATCAAAAATGACCTGTTGCTCTTTTGCAAGACATTGTACACGATGGTCATCTTTAATTGACCTGCTTTCGTTTGATATTTTCTGACTTCCTGGTTCTCCACCAATCACCACCTGCACCTTTCAGCCTGACATTAAGCTACAAGACAATGGAAAAATGTGCCGCTTTAACGAGTGTGACCAGCCAGGATTGAATGAGAAACCTAAGTCACAAGGAGTAAAACAAATTCTTATTCTGATCTTTTATTCCCCGCAGGTAAGAACATGCTGGTGGTGGGTGTTCACGGCCCGCAGGTTCCCTGCGAGGAGGTCCTGATCAAGCACCTGGGTGACCTGCACTACAACGTCAGCTACGTGCTGCGCGAGCGCGGCGACTACATGCTGGTGGTCAAGTGGGGCGAGGATCACATCCCCGGCTCGCCCTTCCACGTCACAGTGCCGTGATGCCGCCGGCTCATACCAAGCGGGGGTGTCCAAAGTGGGGTGCCAAACGGCCCGTGGCTCATTTTGTGGGTTTTGTTGTTTTGTTTGTTTTTCCCCCACCGGCCCGATATACTTAAAAAGTACAACCTAATAACACTAAGACGGCCTGACAAAACTAGCATCAATGACGCCGTACTTTTCAAGGAACAGCTCTTTGAACACACATGGTGGAGCAACATGTAGACAAACAATATCACAATACTCAAGATATTTTCTTTAGCTGTGAGAAATGACTTACTACTGCAGTTTACTGGGTCACTTACAGTAGTTGTGAAGGTCATCTTATGTGTCTTCATGACATGAGTTGCAAGGAATTGTTTGATTCTCTACATTCTATTTATGCTTTGCTATGTTTAAGTACAATATTAAAGAGTGTTTTTCTTTACTTGAAATGCATTACAATTTTTTTTTGGGGGGGGTGGAATCAGGCACCAATGTACCTCTAAATAGGAAAATCGTGATTTTTTTTTTTCTCAGCTGTTTAAATTTTCCCATATCCCCTCACTGAGTTTTAAGATTTAATAAAAGCAAGTTAATATTTTTACCATTTTGGACACCTCTGCTGTGAACTAACAGTCATGCATTTTCAGTAATTAAAGAACATTACACCCAAATTTGTGTTAAATGTGTAGAATTTCGTGTTGCTATTGACACCAACGTGAAAAATGTTGCAGTTGACTACACTTCTCATTTTAAAAAGTGCTTAAAACGTTTGGAAATGTTGCTAAAAGGTTTATAAACAACTGGAACTACTTGTTGAATATTTTTCTGAAGTAGCATCTGAAATATGGTCGTGCACAGAGCTCAAGATATTGCCAAAATGTTTCAAACTTGGAAGTGGAAAATGAGCAGTCTCTGTCGCCACACTCCAGTCCAGCAGGGGGCAGCGTAAGATGGGCTGTGAGCTTCTGTATTGTTGGCCGCACTCTTACGCGACTACTGATGTTTTGTTTTTTCCCCACAATGTTGCACTCGTGCAAGCTTTCGTCTCCGATTGTTTTTTTCTGTAATGTGGTGGCATCGGGTTCACATCTCACCTTGGTCCCATTTGAATGTTGGCTTCTGATGTGTCCCCGGCACATTGCCAAGACTGTACATTTAGATCATTAAAATGAACTGGAATTAATGAGTGCTGGTGTTTTTTGTTTTTTTTCATACAGTACGTTTTAGCCAAAATCCTTTATTTTTTTCTCTCTTGTAATTTTTTGGGGGTCGTAATTGGGGGTTGAATGATGAGGCAAGGCTAATGTATTTTTGGCAACAAAAAAAAGTTGGATGTTTTTGAGAAACAGCAGATTTTGCAAATATAAAGTTCCATTTTTTAATTTTTTTTTTTTTTAAGATTGCCATGAAAAAAATTGCCCCCTTAATTTGTATGCATTTTCCCTTAATTTCTTTGCATTTTACCCACTTCAATGGTTAATTTTTTTTTTCAAGGAAGTAACCTCACAAGAATATATTTTCTGTTTTCACCCCAAAACTACAGCCAAACAAAAAAGGAAAAAGGATTTTTTTTTAACAATTGAAAGCGTACAATACTACAAAAAATAATATTTATCCAACAAACTCATAATTTCTCTCCAAAAATGTGACAATTTTCCAGAAAACATCTCACAGTTTTTTTTTCCAGGTAATACTTCATGGTTTAAAGTTGACATTTAATGGGGGAAGAAAAAAAATGTCTTTACGTGTACGCGCGGTGTGTGTATGTATTCAAAGATGAGATCGCACAGACAAACAAAAACATCTTGGCGGGTTAACCACTTCCCGTGGGCGTGGCACTGTTGTCACATGCAACTTGTCTCTCACCGACCCCAGCCGCCTGACAACCCCTCCCCCCACACACACACATACACGCATTCTCTCTTCCTCAACTACGTAGTTCCACCCACCGGTCGACTTCGGACCAATGACAGGGCCGTCGCTCTCCCTTTGTCAAGTGTGTCGCTTGGCACCGATGAGCTTGTTGAAGCGTCTCCTCACTGACTCCCCGGCGAAGGAGGCGGCGCGCAGATCGTCAAGTGGACGCTCATCCTCTTTCCACTACTTTTCTCCACTTCCTGAAGGTGAGCAACTACTTCCTGTTCGTACTTGCTCACCAACACCTGAGAGGCTTCAAATATTTCACCGATGCTCCGAGTCAAGCAAAGGAGCACCACTGTTGTTTTCAAGCCAAAGCTTTGTGAGTTCTGGTCTGGCTGAGTCCTACATGTGACAGCAATCTCCCGTATCTCATTTTTATCTTTGTAGAAGCTTCGAATGACTGGACAGTTAGCAACAGGTGACTTTTTAGGGTCAACTGGAAAAACGTTTGGGAAATCAGTGGCATCATCCTACATGTGACAGCAGTCTACGTGTTTTTAAATGCAATTTGTAGGCAGTAGTCAACAGGTGACACTTAACTGTCACTTGTCAGCCTAATTGAAAATTTAATTCTGGCTGGCTGTGACAACAATCTCCTATATTTCTCAACCAGTGTCCCGTGACACATTAGTGTGCTGCGAGAGAACAACAGGTGTGCCAAAATTTTATCAAATCAGTTATTCGGATAAAAAAATAGTTTATTCCCCCCAAATTTTTTTTCTTCATTTATCCATCTATATATCAATTAAATGTTCTTCCACCAGATGGCAGAAGGTACAAAATTAACTTGTGCGTCCACGTTTTGTAAATCGCTTTGCTTGGTGGTGTGCCTTGAGATCTTTTTTTTTTTTCGATATGAAATATGTGACTTAGTTCAATAAAGGTTGAGGAAACACTGATGTAGAGGCGTCAAATGCGTGATGAAAATAAGCTACAGGTAACATTTTATGGTAACTTCTTTGAAAAAAAAAGAAAAATCTGTGTCCTATACATGACAACAATCTGCTGTATCATTCACCTGCAACAGTTGTAAAGGGTTGTGGTGATAATAAGCAACAGGTGATGCTTTAAGGTCAGTTTAATAGTACAGGTAGAGCGATTTCTGGCAAGTAGAGGCCGTGCCTTACAGGAGACAACAACTTTGATGTTCTTCATATTGCAGCTTATTAGAAGCTTTCAAATGTTTGACGTGGACATTAAGTAACAGGTGACTTTTTGACAGTCAATGTAAATGAAGACTTTCTGGCAAGTCAAGGCTTATGTCATACATGTGACAACAATCTCCCATTTCGTAAGTCAAAAAAATGTCTTGGTTTCGTTTATGCATTTGTTGTGAAGGATTTTTTTTTTGGGGGGGGTTAAGCGGTCCTGTTCCGTACTCTTGATTAAAACCGTTGAGATAAAAACCGCAGAACTTGTCTGGACAGATTTGTATGCGTGGGTGTACAGTAAAACACACTGAATTACATGTTTTGTTCAGATTGTGATTTTGTCTTAGAATATTGTAATTTATCCTTAAAATAGATTTTCAAAAAAAAAATCACTATTACGAAAAACGTACTACTTTTTTCCTCTGAAAAATTTTTTTTTCCTTAAATGTTCTCAAATCTACTGCTATCTTTCTTACACCTTTTTTTCTCTTTTAAGATTCCGTCTTTATTCTCGACAATCTGAAAATGAGCTGACTTTTCAAGGCATAAAGGAGTGACCTCCCAGCAATCGAATCGATTGTTGCTGATGTTTTGATTTGGAGTAGTTCTGTTGTATTCTAAGAATGTGGAGCTTCAGGATTCCAGATACAAGTCAGGTGTTAACAATGTTGCATGTTTTCCTTTTTACTTTTTTAACCCCATCATCCTTCCCTTTTGGACAGCCTCAGCATTTCAATACATATTTTCGTTGATAGCGCTTTCACAACAGCCGCAGCTCTTTACATCACAGGCCTCTGGCAGCGTCTGCGGTGGTGGCCGGCTGTCAGCGGATGTGTCGTCATACGACTCCAACCTCTAATTGGGGCTGTCAGTCATCAAGAGCAAAAAAAAAAAAAAAAAAGTTGTACAAAAGTCAAAAAAATGCCAGCAGAACATGAAGATGAGTTCTGATTGATTTGGAAATTGGTCTAATGACCAAATCATAATTTTATAGTGGTAAAGTCAGAGTATTGAGTAAAAAAATACAATTAAAAAAAGAAGAAATGAACTGATAAATGTTGGAGAAAATGGTTTCGGTTTTCCAACAAAAGGAATGATCTTCTGGTAATGGGAGGGGAACCGCGAATTGCCATCAATCAACAAATGTAAAACATTTTTGACTCGATGCCATCGCGAGCGCAGGTGTGTGGATTTGAAGTGTGCGCTCCTTCCCTCCGACGCTGTTCTTAATGAGTGTGCTTTGGACCCAAACAAAACCGTAGCGCGATCCTACGACAAGATGAAAAGACGATCTCTTAAAGGGGAAATCAACCCGAAAATGTTCTCAATAATATTTGCCTTCACGAATCTGAACGCAGCATCCCGATTCATATTAGGCAGCAAATTTCAACCGTTTTTGTCCATCTGAGGGGGCGGCCATTTTGCTGTTGACTGAAAATGACATCACAATTTCTTCGGGCTCAGGTAACGACCAATCGCGGCTCGCCTGTTTGTTCTGAAGCCGATCCTTGATTGGTCTTGGACGCCGTGTCAGAATGCCGTGTCCACGCGAGTGGAGGCGCGTTGCACGTATTCTTGAGAAGAAAATGTTGGCGCCCGACTTCCCCTTCAACACAAGACACTTTATGCAAATGAAGGATATATGTCAACAGCCGTAGCAGCGTGTTTGTTTCAAAGTTGTTGGACAAGTTTGGGATGTTTGTTCAACACACACCTGTGCCTTCATTTTACCCGATCGATGCTCTCATCTTGGGGAAGGAAATTCTTATTTCCTTGCTAGCTGTACATTAGAGGGTGACACTGGAGTGGATTTTCACCCCTGTTCGATCCGGCTCCCGTTCAGAAAGATTCTTACACCCGTGCCGCTCTCGTTTTGGAAGTCATCTACATTCATGGACTCTCACAAACACAGTCAGACTCTTCTGCCAGTTTGCACGTGACATGCGTGCACTCACGGCTGACAACGAGGCACTCTAAAGTGTCCATGACAGCGGAGTATCCAAAGTGAAAACGTATACTCAGTAGGGTTGTGTATTTCAGTATTATTCTTATTAAACTTTTACGTGCAATACGATTTCAATTTAATTATATTAAAGTACGTTTTCTTTTGTTCTTTGTCCTACACTGAAAAAAATGGTGTGTTCAATTTTGTCTTTTCTGGGAGGCGAGGGTGGGGGTCAAGTGGTTGCATAAAATAAAATCAGGTCAATCCAAATACAATTTTCAAGTAGAGGTATAGTTTAGTTAAAAATGTATCTGGAACCAGATGAATTTATTTCATGGTACCACTTGACAAAATTGAGTAAATTCAACAAAAACATGTTTTTCAGCGTACATTTAAACCCATTGTTAACGTTCAGATTGGGGAGAATGTTACAATGGCTTAAAATAATATCAAATATACTTTTTAGAGATAAAACTACTGTCTCACTTTTGATGAACACTTGCGCCTACTCTAAGTTCATGTCGGTCACACTGTTGAAACTTGGAGACTGAAGTGTTTTCCCCATCGGTGTAAAATTTTGAGAATTGCTGCTGTCAAATAGTGAAGCCCTCGATGAATGTTCCTGCTCTCTAACAGCTGCTTCACATCTGGGTTGCACGAAAGTCCTTCCATTGACTTGGGTCTGCTCCACAGATCATAAAAAGCGCAGCTGCCCTTGAAAATGGGACTCCACAAAGGACACACACACACACACGCGAGCGCACATGCGGGGGTGTAACAAAAGACCGCTGGATTTCCTTTCCAAAGTGTTGTCAACTTTCAGCCGCAAGCTGCAGCGTTGCATAGTTGGATGTAAAGTGTTGGTTTTGTGTAAATGCGGTGATGTGTGACATGCCTCTTGCATGTTCAGACAGGTCCATCTCCATCTCCATCTTCATCTTCTTCGGCTCTTTGGCTGTTTTTTTTAAGCAGCAGCCGCCATGAAAATAGCGTCTTTCAACATCCAGAAGTTTGGACGAAACAAAGTGTCCGACCCGGAGGTCCTTCAGATCCTGGTGCAGGTACCACACATTTTTTTTTAAACATCTAATGTAAGGATAAGCGGTGCAGAAGAATATAAAAGGACCATTGGTTATTTGAAAAATACATATTGTATTTTTCGATCACATTACATTTTAAAAAACCACATCTGATTATTTGAACAAAAGGAATAATGCAAAGTTAAGTTCTAAATTAAATCATTCTTGAAAAGATTTGAAAATATTTTTTTTCTCCATACTAGCTGCATATGTAAAAAAATGCAACCGATTCAAAAAAAATTAAGATTAATGACTGTGTTCTTATTATCGAATAACAATGCCATCATTAATAATTTTCCCATCTGGAATAAGCAATGAAGAAAATTTCAAAAATATACATACTATATTTTTAGGAAATTAAAATGTGAAAATATCCAACATAACAATAAAAAAATATTAAAACGTTGAAAATTGTTTTGGGGAAAATACATTTATTATTTTATTATGTAAGAATGTAAAGCAAAATATACCTACTTATTTGAAAAGAAAAACAAAACCATATTTGTATTGAATTAAAATGCGAAAATATCCAATTGATTATTGATGAATAAAAATAACTGCAACAATTCACATTATTTCTAAGCGAAAAAAACAGCAGATTATTCCATTACATTGTTGTATTTTTGTAAAGAAAATATTTGAAAATGAAGCAAAATGTCTTTTTTTTTCCCACTGAACTGTACAAATAAAATCCAACATTTTATTTGACAACGACATATTTCAACCTATCTTTTATAAATTGCCCCAAGATTATCCGTCGCTATGACATCATCGTGATCCTGGAGGTGGTGGACATCAGCGGCACGTCGGTCCAAACCCTCCTGGATGCGCTCAACACGTACGTCCACTGTCCAAATCGCACCAAGGAACACCAAAAATAAATAAATACATAAATGAATATAAATGTGTGTGCGCGTGCATGTAGGTCCAACGTGCCTCATCACTACACTCTGAAGATCAGCACTCGGCTGGGACGATCCCATTACAAGGAGCAGTTCATGTTCCTCTACAGGTGACGACGACGACGACGACGACGACGATGTCATCTGAAAGACACAATGGACTCGATGGCGAATTTCTTTTCTGGCACGCGTAGGGACGACTTGGTGGACCTGGTGGGCTCGTATCAATTTGATGACCAGGTGACGGATAGCGGCGATGTCTTCGCCAGGGACCCTTACATCCTGAGATTCCAATGTCACCAAACAGGTGCGGGGAGTCAGCTTCGCACGACGCGTGCGCGTCCGGTGTTCACGTGTGTTTTCATGGCAGTGTTGAAGGACCTGGTGATGATCCCCGTCCACACCAAACCGGAGGACTCGGAGACGGAGCTGGACGAGCTCTTTGACGTCTTTGAGCATGTCAAGATGAAGTGGCGAACTGATGTAAGGATAGTTTCGGCGTTTGGGAATTCAGCTCGTGAAGCCAGTTCGATTGAGTAGCATGCAAATTTGGTCGACACGTCTATCTTGGGTAGACCCCCCACCCCCCATATCTACTGTTTATTTTGGCCGTTTCAAAAGTCCTTCTTCAGGCAAACACAGTCAAGGGATTTTTTTTTTTTTTTGGCGGGTGGGGGTATTGTTTTGGAGAGTTTACCTTGGAAAAATGAAATTTGGTAGACACATCTACCATGAGTAGGCTGACAAAAAAAATTCTGGAAGCCATGACCAAATATAATTTGGGTTTTGATGTTTGGGAATTCAGCTCGTGAAGCCAGTTCGACTGAGTAGCATGCAAATTTGGTTGACACGTCTATCTTGGGTAGACCCCCCCTCGCCCCATATCTATTGTTTATTTTGGCCGTTTCAAAAGTCCTTCTTCAGGCAAACATAGTCGAGGGATTTTTTTTTTGGCGGGGGGGGATTGTTTTGGAGCGTTTAACTCGGAAAAATGAAATTTGGGAGACACATCTACCATGAGTAGGCTGACAAAAAAAAGTCTGGAAGCCATGACCAAATATAATTTGGGTTTTGAAGAGGCTTTTTCGAGTCATTTTGGCCATTTACAAGATCCGTCAAAGGCTTTGGGATTTTATGAAAATTCAGCCCCCAAAGTCTGTTTGATTTGAGGATATGAAATTTGGTTGATGTGTCAACCATGGAAAAACCCATAAAAAACAAAAACAAAAAAAAAATCTCAAGAAGCCATGCTCAAAAAGACACAGGAAGTCGTCCGTTTGGGCTTGAGAATCATTGTGGCCCTTTCTAGTGTCTTTCAAAAGTGTCTCGTGTCCTTTTAATTCAGCCCATGAAGCCATTTTCACTGAGCAACATAATTTTTCATTGGCATGCCGATCATGAGTAGACCCACAAAAAAGTGTCAAGAAGCTACGGCTGAAAAGACATAGGAAGTCTGCCATTTCCAAGGGCATTTCAATGTCCGGCTTGTAGATATTTTTGTCCCATTCTTATTTAATTTGAAGCATGTACGCGAGATAGATGACCCCCTCCCCTGCCCCCGCAAGCTATGAACAGTTTAAGTTGTCAACATTTCCTCCAAACTACATCCCCCACGACAGAACGTAATGATCTTGGGCGACTTCAACGCGGACGGCGCGTACGTCTCCAAGCGCGAGATGCAGCGCATCCGCATCCGCAGTGATAAAAACTTTCACTGGCTGATTGGAGATGACGTCGACACCACGGCCAGCATGGGAAACACCAATACATATGACAGGTGGGATGCGGAGGTGGAAAGTCAGATACTCTATGCGCAAGTCTCAAACGTTAACCTTCAGGTAACTCAGACCAGAACCGAGTCAAGCTAAGTCTTTCTCAAGTTCCAGTCATGGTGACTCGAGTAACCCAACTCTGGAAGGATCGAAGTAGACAACTGCTAACAAACGGTAGCAGTTAAAAACCTTTTTAAACGGACTGGCCCGTTCCAGGATCGTGGTCTACGGAGACGACATGCTTCGCGCCATGGTGCCAAACTCCGCCAAACCCTTCAACTTCCAGAAAGAATTCGGCCTCAGCAATGAGCAGGTGCGTGGTGAAGCAGCATGTGGCTTGTCGCCCAAGATTTCCTGTACAATAATTCCTCCCCTTTCTCTCTAACACATGTATTAAAAACTCTCGGTGTGTTTTCATATCACAACTGAGATTGAGATGTCAAAAGGCCAAAATCAACACAAACAACTATTGTTTGTTTTGCAGGCGCTTAAGGTGAGCGACCATTATCCAGTGGAAGTTGAGCTGAGGTCTCTCACCACGCCACGACAAGAAAATGAAGGCAAGTGCTATCTTTTTTTTGTCACAACACGTCAACATCAGCACAGTGAGCAAGTAGTTAGCTGGTTGCCTCACTGTTTTGGGGTTCAGGGTTTTTTTATCTCAGCTAAGGCTTTCCTGCATGGAGTTGGCATGTTCTCCTGTTGAAATGTGCATCATCTGCATCGTCCGAAGTGTTTGAGGTGCTCGGAATTTTCAAGTACTGTTATTAGAATGTATTGGAGTGACAAAGATAATGGTTTGAGTACAGACCCTTGTGGAACTCCACAACCCCTCAATTTGTTTGTTTGACTCTACCTCAGCAGGTCCACATTTGGACAGTGAACTGCTGGAGTTGCAACGAGGAAACCTGTTATTGGAGCGCGAGAAACTCAAGCTGGAGATCCAGATCCTGCAGATGAAACTGGCCAAGATGAGGCAAGGGGATGAAGAACAACAACTGCTGCAATACCTGCCACGCCAGCAGCCAACCTCGAGCTGCAAAATGCTGTGAGATCATAAAACCTTGTTCGATGTTTCGGGCTGAGGCCAACAGACTCGTTTACGAGTCAAATCTGGAAGTCCGCAAGGTGAGGGTGACAATAGTACATTTCAATACCATTCTGCTGAACATGAGACCTCTGAGTCAGTTACAGCTGTATACAATCACTTCCACTAGTTGAGTAGTTAAACAAGGCACAACCACTTTTACCTCAGATAAATAAATCCACTTTATGGAGACATTTCATGACCAATTAATTTTTTTTCTTGCAAGTTTTTAATGATATTTTTATATTACTACTATAATGGTACGCATATAGACCCTTGTGGAATTCCGCAGTCGCTTATAAAGCATATGAGACATGTTTTTGTTTTTTTGCTAGCTCAATTGCTATGTGCATTATACTGTATCAAAACATCATGCAGCTGTTCAATATTTAATATAGACCCTTGTGGAACTCTGCAGTCCCTTTTAAAGCATATGAGACATGTTTTGTTTTTTTGCCAGCTCAATTGCTATGTGCATTCTACTGTATCAAAACATCATGCAGCTGTTCAATATTTATACATTATATATCATATACACAGTAGATATATTTTTGGGACGTTGGGATCTCTGTGCAAAATGGAAAACATATTCAATCTATAGACGATCGATGAAATATTTTTGGGATGAGTATGAAAAAATATAAATTTTAAAAATATTCTTTGAAGCTGTGCTTTGTGTGTGTGTGTGGGGGGGGGGGCAGTGAAGATATCCTACACATCACACAATGTACATCTTTTTGGTGATATTCTGCCTCCTGTAGGTACTTTGTAATCACAGTCCATGAGGGACTCTTTCCGATTTCAATCATATACTCTAACTACATAAGAGATAGAGCAAAGTGGAGGTGATTTCAAAGCATTTTATTAGTCTCGCCCTCCTTTACAATAAAAGGTCCTCAAAAAAAAAAAAAAATAAAACACGTTTTTGATTATATTCTTGTATTTTAAGTACATAATTTTGACAGCAACCAACCTTTTATTTGAAAATGGCTGGTCAGTGTTTGACGACAGGTGTTTATGACAAGAAAATATCACGGTGTGAAACCTGGCGTTACAAGCTGTACACTGACTCCAGTTAACACTGCCTGGGAACCGTCATGGGGGGGAAAAAAAAACACTTCAAACCGGAGCAAAACAAACCAGGCACGCTGCAGTCACGGTAATCTGAGCAGGGAATTATCGGCAGGCTTCACTTTTTGCCCGACTTCTTGATGCCAGTGCCAGCTGATAGAGAAAAAAAGACAAGACAGTGCATGAGGAAAGCTACAAAGCACAGTAAGGCAGCTATTGGTGGAGATAGAGGCCGAGCCCTGCCACGAGTAGCCGAAAAACGTTAATTGACACCCCTACATAAACTCTGGCAACAACTGTCTCTTTTAAGAAAGGAAATGACAATTCCCCAAACACTCCAATATCCTGCCCATATTTGGAAGTGGATGCTTAGCAGCCTACTAGGAAGTTGCAAGAATGATTTTCCTCCTGATTGGGCTCCTGCTGTTAACACTCTAAAAACACGCCACCAACCCCTCTCCTATTGGCTGATGTCACAGAGACGCTGCTGTCAAGAAGAAAACTTTTTAAACCGAGATGCCGTTCTGTCGGCCCGCCCCCGCATCTGTTGTTAAACCCAAAAAATGATTGTCAAGTAATCAATCTCAACCTCTAACCGTCATTCCGGAGTCGTAGGGGTAATGTCAACAAGCCAGTGCAACCCTACTACATTTTGTCCAAGATCTACATGTTAAACAATGCACTTCTGTTAATACCTAGAGGTCCTTTGCCAGAAGCTTTGACCTTCAAGGCCTCCAAGGCCTTCTGCTCCTCCTTCTGCTTCTGCTTGAAGGCAATGTCATCCTGCACACACATTTAGCACACTTTTAAAATATCAAGGGAACATATAAGTGCGGTTTGACTGTACCAGTTAACCAAATGAACCTCATGCGTGCATAGGCATTTGCAAAATTACAAATGCAATACAGTATAATGTCATATGTTAATGAAACCTACGTCATCCATTTCCTTGGTCTGTTTTTTGGCAGCCTTCAGTGGTTTCTTTTTGCCTCCTGAAAGTAAATGCGTTATTGTCAACGGGGAACACAATTGACTGTGCACACAGTTGACTGAGGTATGAACGGTACTACAATAAATGAATACCATGACTTGGAATATACAATTTAAAAAAATTATCTTCGCCATTTGCATTAGTAGCGCTGCTCTCTTTAGCAACAGCTAACCAGCTAATCCAAACATAGTCAAGCAACAGTGATATTAAATGTGATATTTATATACTGATATATGATACAACATATACAACGACGTCTCACCTTCCCTGCCAGACATATTTTGGCGTTAATAAGAGCAAAAAGAGGAAAAGGGTAGTGTGCTTGGATGACACTGTTGTGCTGCCTGCAATCCAGTCGCGAAGAAGCCGCGCCGTCAGGACCCCCAAGCCAGGAAAACTTTGAACCCGGAAATAGAAGCACCGTTATTTGCCGGATCAAAACTCACTCGTTGTCAAGTTAACTCTTTTTTTTCACATTAGAGTGACAACTTCGGGTCGAAAAATATCATCCCAGTGACATGTTTGTATCGGAAACACACAAGAATACAGGTATGTGTTTTTGTTTCGACTATATATTTATATATACATATATGTTGTGACAAAGCAAAATACGGACGTGATGCTAAATGCTAGGTTGCTACCATTGGAAATGGGTAGAGGACATAAGCGGCCGTTTGCCGGCGAATAGAGGAATGGATAAATGAGACTCTATTGTCATTACTGATTATTTTCTCAAGTAAAAGGCAAAGAAATGTAGAGTGCATCCAAGCAGAAGTTTTTAAACTGTAATCGAATAGCATTCTGCGTGGAGTAAAAGTAAGCATGCGCTTCTTCAATGAACATAAATAATACAAAGCCCCAGTGAATAGTGTCAACATTTTATTTACGTCATTTGAGTCCAGAAGAAAAAAAAAAAGAATTCTAAGAGGCAGTGAAAGAAAGAAGACCGAAAAGTTGAAAGTAGGATACAAGTTGCAAAAGGTCGTTTTGAAGAAATTAAAGAAGGAAAGGTGGCAAGCAGATAAATGTTTAAAAGTGGATCTGAAGGAAAGCATCAAAGAGGTCCGAAAGGAAGCAGAGATGGTGTGAATCAAGGAAAAAGAAAAAAAGGTTGAAGTAAAAGAAGGATGTATGGACACAAGAATAAAAATGTACTCTCTGAGTGAAGGAAGCAAGGAAACGTTGCCAGGAAAAAAACCCAAAACTAAATGAGTCAATGCATTTTGTCAGGATGCTCCCCATGATGTAAAATGGTTGTCCAAATCTAAATTCCGTAATGAAACAATTATTTACAGGTGGTATCTCTTCAGCTGTGGACAAATTGCAGCTCTGATTCTGTCCATATTGCGCTTCTTGATGAGGTACTTTCTAATTAAATGATGCAACAATACAATACACTTAAGTCAATTCATTGATGCTAATGGGGCCAGGTACAGACTTCATGGCTCGGGTTGTTGGTCCCGCCTCTTCCTGCTTGGGCCCCTGCCGGTCCGGGTATGTGTGGTCCGGACCTACTGTACCCATCGACAACCCAGCGGCCCCCGCTTGGCCGCTCCCAATGGCCTGAAGGAGCGAGCACTCTCTGCCATACAGGTAGGTCAAATCCTTCAGAACCTGACATCTGCTTTTACTTGGAAAGCAATGATCAATATTTGGGCCTGTTTTCCAACGGATGTTATGGACCAAACCACAAACCAATGAATGACTCCTATTCGATTTATGTTTCTGCACTTTCTGCTCTGTCTATTTGAAATAATCTCGTGATTGGAAGAAAATAAGTATTAGGTGATGGAAAAGAAACTCTAATTAATCAAAAAAAAATCATACCAACAATTATTTAATTCTTAATTTTTTAATTCATTATTTAATTGTTAGATTTAGTCCTATTTTCATTTCATGAACAACAACAACAAAGTTGTGGTGTTTTTTGGGGGTGGGGGGTTGAATTAATGGCCTCAATGGGGAAAATTGATTTGGTCATCAAGCTTGAAACTCAAGGTACCACTGTCATCTGATTTTAAGTTTCTATATCAGTTCCAAAAGAAGTCATTAATAATAATGGTCATACTAATAATTGTAATCATAACTAAAATAAATATATTTATTTGTTTTTGTCCAGCATGCCGGTCGCTTAGGTCAGCAGTGGGGCCGGCAGTCTGCCCTGATGGCCGCTGCCACCATGAACAGCTGGTGGGGGAAGTATGAGGAGTTTGTCGGCATCAACGAGGTCCGCCAAGCGCAGACCAAAGTCACAGAGGTCAGTAGATACCCCGGACTGGTTGGCAGTCATTCACAGGGCACATTGGAACAAGCTATGCGTTGGTTGCCACTCAATTATGGGGCACGTATTGACAAACGCCATCAGTCAATTACAAGGCGTGGGATGACAAACAAGACGGCTGTTCAGGAGTAAATCACAGGGCACATGTAGATGAAGTGGATTGGTCGCCTGCCAATCACAGAGCCCCTGAAGCCAAGCAGTGGACGACATTCAAGGAACAGGTTTCACATTGTTGCATTCAAAATCTTCAGATCATTCAAATCACCTCAGAAACACTCAATATTTCAAATGTTTACACATTACCAAAAAAATCTTTGACAATAATAATACTCATTTTTTACTCAAGAAATTTTACAGTTGATTTCTTTTTCTGCATTCATTCATTGAATCACACCATTCCAATGTCAACATATTCCAAAGATTCATGTCATTCAAGGTCATTATTTTTCTCATTCCAAAAATTCACAATTTTTTCCAAATTTAAACTTCCGACTTTAAGCTAAGACTCTTGGGTTTTTTTTCCTTGATCTACACCCCTTCTAATTTGTACATTTTGCAAGGCGATGACTTGGCCAATCCGTCCTGGGTGACGTTGCAGGCAGAGGCGGCGTTCATGGCGTCGAGGGGGCTGGTGCGCGAGGCCCACGCCAGCCTTGAGGCGGTGCAGGTTCGGCTGAAGGAGGCGCGGGCCCGCTTGGAGCGCGTGTCCCGGGAGGAGGCCGCCTACCTGGAGCTGGCCACCTTGGAGCACCAACTGCTGCGGGACGAGCGGCGGCTGCGCGCGGCGCACGGGCACGCTGAGGCGGCCGAGCGAGAGACCTTCGCCTCCTTCTCGGCCGCCGTGCGCGAGAGTCACGAGAAGGAGCGGACGCGGGCTGAGCGCACCAAGAACTGGTCGCTCATTGGGTCGGTGCTGGGTGCCCTTATCGGCGTCATGGGCTCCACATACGTAAATCGCGTGCGCCTACAGGTGAGGACGCGCCCAAAAAGGGCTCGGCTTGCACATGTATAATTTTCATGGTGTGTGTGTGTGTGTGTGTGTGTGTGTGAGAGAGAGAGAGATCTAGGCAGTACACCGAGCCAAGTATGGCGTTGACGTACGAGTCAGCCTTCGAGGAGGCACCATGTGTCTCTGTCTATGTTCGTCCCGGAGCAGGCAGGGAGAGAGGGAGTTAAAAAAACAAATACCCCAGCACATCTGGAGGAGGACCCAAAGGCTTACCCATCGCTCCGACCACGTCGTCACACGCTG